AACCTCATGTTCTCATGTTCTACCCGGAGGTCCATGCCGCATAGTGACGATACAGGGTGCTGTACAGGGATAGGTGCATGGCGAGACTGCGTAGATCTTGTGAGATGCTTCGGAGGCCGGGCCTCTTAGGATTCTGCCATTGGCTTTGGTTCTTCACGACGCAATCGGGCAGCGAAGGGTCGGGGCTCAACAAAGCACCACAAACCACCACAAACCACCAGAAACCACAAACCATCACAAACCATCACAAACCATCACAAACCTCCACAAACCGTCACAAAACCATGACAAACCATCACAAACCATCACAAACTCACAAACCCTCCCACAAACCCACAACTCAGTAAACAGGCGAAACCCTGGTGCGCCTCGGCTGGAATTGCGCACGTCGGCAAACAAGGTAGACTGCCCCGATGTGAACCCCCAAGCCGCGTAAGACTGTGAGAAACCTGCCTGCTCCATGTGGCTGGGACTACCGTGTGCTGCTGCTTTGTGGTAGAGACTGTGCGTTTTCTAACACGGCGGCTGCCTTCTGCGGATTCAGCAGCTGCGGAGATCTGGCATCCAAATCGCAAAAGCCCCAAGCCCCAAGCAGAATTCCCGGCGTTCCATGACGAACTTGGCATCCAGCCTATCCTTGCATTAGGCCCCATAGGCCCAACCACAACAACCAGTGCATCTTTTGGATCTGAGCTGCAAGTGCGAAGAGGAACGAAGGGCTTGGCAAGAGCAGTGCAGCAGATGCCAAAGCAACAAGCAGCTGGGCTTCCAAGTGGGTGACTTGCACTTTTTCTTTCTTGTTCTCCGACTAACGGACCTCCTGGCATGCTATTGTGGCTGTGGACTGGCGATGATAGATATGCTTGGCCTTAACCCGCAAGGAACACTGTCACAAGACCAAGGCAACTGTCAAGGCGAAGAGCTGTGGCTTTTCAGATGCTACAACGATTAGATGAAGACGTTTAAGGGGTGCAAGGGCGCACAAGAACACTCCAGCTTATTCAGCTTAGGCAACTAGGTGCGACCATGGCTTATGCTACGACTGGGGCTGTGGAATTTCGGAAGCCAACTCCAAGGTCTCCGGACACATCCCTGAACTTCCCGGAACCCAGGCAACTGCAGCTTGGACAGGCACGCAGTTGAAGTACGCTTGCCAGATGGCCGCATTGTTAGCTTCCTTGATGCATGGAAACACCTGGCGAAGAGGCGGAGGGAAAAATTGCACACCAAGGAAGCCGCAAACGCTGTGCTTGTTTGGGTGCAGAGATATGCGTGGGACGAACAGGAGAAAGTCTCGCATCAGGGCATGCTGCGGGGGCGCGGAAGTGTGGCCGGCCACATCAAGGCGTCCAAACTCCGCAAGAGTAGGGTTTTAGGGTTTAGGGGAGTTTAGGGTAGTTTAGGGCGTAGGGTTTAGGGTTTAGGGTTTAGGTGAGTTTAGGGTAGTTTAGGGCGTAGGGTTTAGGGTTTAGGGTTTAGGGTTTAGGGTTTAGGGTTTAGGGTTTAGGGTTTAGGGTTTAGGGTTTAGGGTTTAGGGTTTAGGGTTTAGGGTTTAGGGTTTAGGGTTTAGGGTTTAGGGTTTAGGGTGCAGCTGAGGCCTGGATCTGCCCCTTGCACTGGAACTTGAGGTTGCGAAGTGCGTTCAAGATCTCCCGCCTCGGCACTCGCAATTTCTTGGCCTGCTTCAGCATTTTAGGGTACTCGGCGCTGTCTCTGAGCCTGAGAAACTGAGAAGTATTTTAGGGTTTAGGGTTTGGGTGCTTTTTAGAGAGGGTTAGGGGCCTACATCACACTTACATCCCCAAACCCAGAAACCATCGAACGCAGCTGGATTCCAAGTTTTCATGTTGTCCCAATTTGATCCACATGAGGTAGTGCGGGCACAGCATCTTATCCTTGCAAGTCGGCGCATGCGACACGGTGTGGCCGCGTATTCCTTCGCCCGTTGCTTAGGCAAAATGTCTGATGACGCGGCACGCGTAAGTGTAGTGGGTGACGCTCGATACCCACGTGCGCATTCAAACCCGGAGGCAGGAGACCCCCCATTTGCGCAATCAGCAACCGTCACTGGCAGTTTCTCTTGGCAGAAACGCCCGGAAAAGCAACCGAACCCTACGTCGGAGCCCCACAAACTGGGACCCTTGCATCCCGAAGATTCCCCTCCGCCAAAAAAACTTTACACCAGCATCTAGTTACACAGCAACTTCGCGAGATCCCTGGGCAGCTTTTCTCCACCGGACAAGCACCTGCCATCTGCTCCCACGATCCTCGCAGCAAACCCGGGGCTCGCCCCAGCCTTCAGAAATGCATGACATCAGCTTTGGCTAGAATGAGGTAGCTTGACATGTGCGTATTGGTACCTGCTAGCGTCTTTTGCAGGCCGCCAGCAGTGATGCAACTGTTGTCATGTCGGTACAGCACTACTCTTTGGCTGAATGTGGCAACTGGAGCGCATTAACATGCAAGCTTACACTATTTTTATTGTAGGGCCCGACTCTGCCTGAGCTTTGTGACCAGTGTGTTAGCTGATCTCCAACATGACATGCTCACTGGGCAGCGACAAAATGTGCTGTCGCTTCACATGGTACCTTGTGCCATACCTCCTCACTGCAGCCGGGGAGCCCTACTACCCAACGGCCCCCAGTTCCGAAAAAAGACTCACCCCAACTGAAACCTTTCCGGATCCAACACAAACATTTGGGATGAGTGTAGTGCCCCCTTATGATAATCCCTATTAAGGACTGTTAGTATAAGGGGGGACATCCCAAACAACCATGTCCAACCTGAAATCCTCTTAAGGGAGCACCTCGGTGTAGCGCCCCAAGCGGAGACAGGAGCGTCAGGGCCAGACACCTCTCCTGGACACAGGGTGGCGTTTACAGGGTTTAGGGTTTAGGGCTTAGGGCTTAGGGCTTAGTGCTTAGAGTTTAGGGTTTAGGGTTTAGGGTTTAGGGTTTAGGGTTTAGTTTTTTTTTTGATACCTCTTGTGAATCCATGAATCGTGTCAGCGCAATGAGCCGTGCGAATTGTGATGTCTAGAGGTGTTCACATCAACAAAACAGCATGTCACCGAGACCAACCAGATCCGACAAGCTTGTCAAATCCAAGCTGGAGGCCTGCTCTGCGGCTCCAGGCCGGTCGAGATGGGCAATGCTCTGCTTGCCTGGGGCGGTTTTGCACAGCTCATGGCACGGGCTTCTACTGGAACATGCCGGCGCATGCGACACCACAGCAAGGAGCCGGGCTGCGGATCAACACCAAGGTGGCTTCCCGCATCGCCGTTCCACGCAATGCCACGGCTGCTGGAGAACCTCGCCCGACGGATGGGAAGAGTTGGGAAGAATCAACCGACTATTCTCATCAAGCACAATGCCGAGAAATCAAACCACCATATCTGAGGTTGCCTGCACACTCGGCGGCAGAAGAAACCAATGCCGCCCCAAGCAGCCCTGGTCGCTCAAGATGGGCCTGACTGGCACAAAGTCTCTGCTGCTAGGACGAGTTAAGTTGTCTAGATTGAATTCAAATTCCAGGCGTTCCGCTGAACTCCTCGTCCTCTCCCCACCCACATTCGCTGGACGGCAAACCGGCTCCGTGCCAAACCACAACCTGGACAGGCCCTCTGAACCCAAGGTTGCTTCCTGACGCGAAGAGGGGGCACAGGGGGAAGCCCGGGAGCCGAGGAGGGAAGTCGAGGGCGCCCCTCAAACAGACCTGATCAACAACTCAGCATAGTGGGAATCCCTGGATACCCCCTGGCCCACATGAAGAATACGCCGGGTCACGCTTGGTCCTCCAAAAACCCTGCTGCCAACAAAGACAACTACGAGATGGGGAGCCATGGTCAGGGATGTTGTTCATCGTCGTTCTTTTGGAGCCAGGGAAAAATACGGTCAACATGGGAAGCCATAAAACAAATGGAGACCGGCTCCGTCATTCTCTTGTTATTGGACTCGAGAGGGACGATGCCATTTCGACGGAAATAGTTCCCAACATGACCGAATTGCTCTTGCGCTTGTCTATTTCAGACCCCCCAAAACACAAAACAGAACTTACATTCTGAACAACGGTTGGCCCTTTCGAAGTCATGATGAGAGAAAGGCCCAAGTTGGCCAAGCTATACTCCCTCAGGAGTTTGGAATGTCATGTCCAGCAGTCCTCAGACATCCGAACCCTGACATTAGCGAATCTGTACTCTAATGAATGTCCTAAACCCTAAACCCTTTTTGCTGAACCCTAAACCCTAAACCCTTCACCCTAAATTAAACCCTAAGCCACCAAAGCGGCCTTCTGTGCTGCCAGGGCCGTCTGCCAGCGCAGTGCCTTTTGGGGAGGAAGGCTTAGGTGGGGCGGGGGACGGCTCAGGGCAAAGCCTCAGCTAGCTGTTGGCCTGTTTGCCCTCTGAGTTCTGGGTGTTGCACCAGGTTTGCTTCCTTTTTTTTGCTGGGCAATTCGAGCCGCAGGGTTTAAGAGCCAAGCTCCACGGGGCAACTGCAGAGAGGATGCTTTGCAGGTTGAAGGTTTCAAGCTTTGGCTTCGGATCCAAAATGGGATGTCCAGGTCCCGGGACATAAGAACTCGAAGCAAACGGCACCTTGAGGGAGTTGCAGTCACGAGGCCCTGCTGCAGGCTGCTACCAGCGCAGTGCAGCTGATGGCATCGCAGCCCAGCAGGCTGCCTCCCCGACAAGCTCGTGCCAAGGTGCCTTCTCGAACTCCTAGTGCCTTGTGTCTTTTCAGTCAACCCCCTTCAGAACTCTTACGCGTTGCTGAAAGCCGCGCCGCACCACTGCCATCCTATCGCCTTCAATCGGGTCTTGCATCAACCATACCCGGCAAGAGGAAGCAGCACCTCTCACAGAGCACGACATCGACACCTCCATGACCTCGCAGAAGGCACAGCACCGTCTCCCATCTGCTGGCCTCGCAACGCTGCGCGCTGCGCGCGCTTGGAACCCAAGGCTTGCAACAGAGAGTCCCACCTTGAACCCCGAAGTCTGCCTACGCAACTGCCAAGTGTCTTGAGTCCACCCAAGGCCGCTCCTTCTCCAGGGCGCTGCAGGTGCTGTTCAGCCCGACCAAGCCACAGAGGCCCTTTCTCTGTGCCTCCTGTGGGCGCATGAAGGGCGCTTGGGCTTGAGTGCCTTCGAGTCTTCCCGAGTCTTTTCAATAAGGTGGCCTTATACAAGTGGTCAGGAATCTTGGTTGCAATCCATGGTTTGGGATTTGGGACTTCAGAACCTGAATCCTCCTGTAGGCACCGTTGAACTCTGCTGTATCATCCAATGCAAAGCTGACGCCAGGCAAATCCAAGCAGCATAGAAGAGATCTAGCGCATGCCACCACCGCGACGAGACTTCAAGGGCACCTGGTAGCGTCCATCGCTGCCAGTCCCTCTGCAGCCTGTCTCTGCTGACTGCGGCAGACCTAGTCGTCACTACTCGATGCGACATCTTAGAGTCACCTGGAGAGCGGCCGTAGAGACATAGAACGAAGCATGCATCGTGTTCACCAGGACTTGTAGAGACTCGCCAACTCTGCACTGAAAATCCTTGAAAAGGATCCTCATGGAATCCTCACTTAGACCAAGGGAGTTTAGGCTACGTGTCTGCTATGGTAACGAAGGCTTTTGTCCAGGATGCCCAGGAGCGCATGGTAGGTGCCCTCCGTGGCATCCGCCATCCTCAAAGCCACGGAAGTCCACAGGGAGTTCCAAACAGTTCTCAAAGAATCTCAAAGAATTCAAACATCCAAAGCACCACGCAACACACCCCCCACACCTTGACTCTAGAAGCATCCCCTTTTTAAGGGTCTCGAAAGGCCCAGGCCTCCCGCTCACCAGCTCCAGGGCCTTCCACCAATGTCCCGCCAGTGAGCCCAGCGTGGCGTTGAGGGCCCTGAGGTTGTCATGGTTTTGGAGGGTTCGGACTTTATGCGGGAACCAAACTGCTGCTTGTACGTGTTTGGGGCAACTGATGCCCGAAAATCCTTCGTCACGCGCACGAGCCGTCTTCTCGATGGATCGACGCAGACTCGGCCAGAAAGACGTGGACACGTTTTGGGCTGGCTTTCGTTCAAGCAGCGGATTGTTGCAGGCGTGAGGTGCTCAAAAGATGTTCAGATTCTGGCTCCAAGCTTGGGCCATCTGGCTGCGTCTTTCGCGCTTAAGCTTGGGACCTCGTCTAGCCGTGAACACAAAAATACCATTTCAGGATGCTGAGGTGCACAACATCCTCTTTGCCCTCGGCCGCAAGCTTCGTGAAGATGGTGAGCGCCCAGGGCCACTTCCGGCCACGCTCACAAGCCTCCAGCTTCAACAGGGACTGGGGGGCTCAGAGCTTGTGAGGGTGTAGGTCCAGGTCGCGACTTACGTCTTTCACCTGGAGCCTTGCCCTGCGCCCTGGCTTCTCGACCTTCCTTCAGGAACCATAGGAACCTCTGCTGCGGGCCGAGGGCTGTGATGCCGGTGGTCAGGCTGCGGGCGTCCGGTCGAATGCGAGAGCTGCAGACCTGCAACTCGGTCTTGCCACTCATCCTCTCTTGCTCTCATGAACATGCCGGCCGCACACCCCTCCCAGCTTGCATGTACTTGTTTTTCATTTTTCCGGCACATGTGAATATCCGCGTGAATGGTCACTGAAGTGGTCTTCGCATGTCCGAAAGAAGCATCTCTGAAGAACATCGCGGCACCGTCTGCCGTCGCGAGATGAGTTCTGATCCAAAACTCGTGAGAACAGCGGCAGAAGCTACAACGACTGTTGGATGTCTCTGGGGGCGCAGCCCTTCCTTATGGGCCCAGCGCATCGTGCAGCGGGCCAAGTGTCATGGGCTGTGGCGGCATAAAGAGCCGTGATGGGGTGGGAGTTTGGGGGGGCGGACTTTGACTTTGAGACTTCAAAGGTTAGTTCGCTTTCTACTGTGGACCTCAGCACCACAGACAGTTTACCTGCAGGGCCTCGTCCAGAAGCGACAGGGAAAGCTGCCACTGGAGAGCGCGGGAGCAGGCGCTCATGACTGTCGCCGAGGCCTTCTCAGCATCTTCACCTGTCACTTGATTAGGGTTTAGGCGGTTTAGGGTTTAGGGTTTGGGGTTTAGGGTTTAGGGTTTAGGGTTTAGGGTTTAGGGTTTAGGGTTTAGGGTTTAGGGTCTGCTAAGTCTTCAGAACCCCTTCTAAAATGAAAGCCTCGCCCGATGCAGTCGACGAAGCCTATCCACGGGAAAGATTCCATGTTCAACATGGCAACAAAAAAAGATCTCTCCCTATCTCTCACGCCCTCTCTTGCGTTCTATGCGTTCTCTCCCTCTCTTCTTCTCCTTCTGCCTCTCCTTCTCATTCTCCTTCCCCTTCCCCTTCCCCTTCCCCTTCCCCTTCCCCTTTCCCTTCTCTCGCTCTAGGGACTAGGGAAGAGAACCCTGGCCCAGCGTGCCCAGAGTGCGTCCGAAAGTCGGTGTGTCTCTCTCTGGCTCTCTCTTTCTTGCTTTCTTTCTTTATTTGGGGTGTGGGGGACAAGCCCCCGCGCAACCGCGCGACCCCGCTCCCGCGTCGTACGAACAGCCCCTGCTTGCTGTGGCCACATTGGGCCTGTGCCTGTGAGTGTCCCCCTCCGGGAGGCGCGATTTCCCTGGATCCCAACCCAACCCAACCATCAGACTAGAAACCCCATCATTTATGCAAACCCCCTTCCACGGAACATCGATCCTCCCATCGGGCGTGACTCTGTACTCGGGCACACTGTCGCCATTGGCACCCCCCCCTTTATTATAACTTACAGTTCATCCCCGAGGCTACCCTACCATCATCCTTCTGGCGACTCAGCAGGCAGGGAACTATCGGCCCCCGTTGTTCGGTCCCGGGTTGGCCTTCGTGAAACTGGTTATCGGCCCCCTTTCCTAAAACACCGACCTAACCACTGCTCACAACCGTTCAGGGACTACACCTATGTTCACTCTCTCTCTCTCTCTCTCTCTCTCTCTCTCTCTCTCTCTCTCTCTCTCTCTCTCTCTCTCTCTCTCTCTCTCTCTCTCTCTCTCTAGGTCATGAACGCCAGCTAGCTGACCTAGACCTCAACTCCCAGAACTCCCGAGCACCCCAGGAGCTTCAGATTTAGGGTCAGCCCAGCCCGGGCACCCAGCTCAGACATCAGTGAGTTTTTTTCCGACCTGACGGTGTGTTTTTTTTCGTGCGCCTCCAGCAGCCAAAATCTGCAGCCTTTGCTTCTCCAGACACTGGCAAAACAAACACAAGCAGCCCGGAGTGATCACGGATACTTGAACACAAATAACATTGCTTATATACTACTTAACATCAATTTTGTACGTATTATATCACAAAGCTATTCATAGAGTCATAGAGCATCCATGCCTTTCTGCGGCCAGGGGACGCAACATGCCAGGCGCTGCCACGCTCGCAAGCACTGAGCAAAGAAAGACGCGGAGGAAGCCTTCCTATGGTCCAGGAGCAGATGGAATCATGCCGGCATGCTTGTCGATCATGCCGTTTATGCCCAGAAACAAAGCTCCAACCCGAAGTAGACACACAAAACTTTAAAAAACCTGCGCGATGGGAATCAGCGACTGCTAAATGCACATGGGTCCATTCGCCATGACTTGGTGAGGATGGAGCGTGACTGAACATGACCGAGCATGACTGGGTATGATAGACTACGACGGATGTGAAGGTCCCGAGACTTTCAAGATCAGTGAAGGAGGAACCTGCTCAGGAGAATGGAAATCAGCAGAGTTAGACGACTACTGGTAGAGCGTGTTTTGAGTGTTCTCAGGAGCACCTGGGCGTAGTCGGGAGAACCCTGCCGCAAAGCACAAAACCACCAGCAACGAACTAGTTGGATGAACTTGGCTGGAATGCAGAATCATGAAAGGGCACGGAAACACATGAAGAAACATGCACCGTACACTCCACACAGGCTCCACGTGATTCCACACGGCTCGAAAGACAGAGGCCTCGGTGGAGGGCATTGCTGTAGATTGCCAGAGCTACGCGCCATTGTGCAGATGCTTGACACGCCTGAAGGCTGTAGTTGGGCTGGGCTGGGGGGAGGGGGGGGGAGGCCTTTGGGGGGTGATTACTACGTTCCGAGCTCAAGCCTGCAACCTGCGTCATGGCCCTCTCAGGGAGCTCAGATGTGGTCAGCCAGGGTCAGTCGGAGCGAAGTCGGAAAGAAGTCCTGACGACGCCATGCGAGCAAAGGGCTGCCATCATCACGTTCCAGTTCGGCGTGTCATCCAGCCTCGGCGGCGCGCAGAAGCGAACGGAATCACAGCCCCTCTCCCTCCCTCTCGTAAGGTGGATCGAGCCGAGCCGAGTTGACGTGCAGAATCGGTTAGAAAAAGCTTCCCCCTCCAAACCTAAAAATCTCTGCCAATTTCTTTGGGGCAACACCAGCCCCTCCCCCCGCCACCAAACAACCCCCCCCCCAAAAGGAAACTGAGAACCCGCCCGAGGGAAGAAGAAGCAGAGAGACCAGGAGAGGGAGAGGGAGAGGAGCCGAGCGTGAGTGAGAGCGACAGGGCAGAGAGAGACAGGGCAAAGAGAGAGAGACAGGGAGGGAGACCGACCCGGGCGAGGAGCACAGGAGTAGCTACAAGTTTAAAGCCTCAAGCCTCTCCCTCCACACCGAGGGTGGGGAAAACACATTGGTAATTGTCTGATTCGAGCTAAACTGATGCAAGGCTTCTCGGGATTCTCTGCCGCGGGCTTCTCTCTGTGGGCTTCTCTGGGGATGAGCTTTCGTTTCAGCAGCTCTGCGACTGAGGCAAGTCCCTACAAACTTCCAGAGGTGCTGCGGAGCTGCCGCCCTTCCAGCGTGGCCAGGCAAGACCTGGACAGCTCGTACACAAATGAGGTCTGCGGGCTACGGAGTCTCTGGCTCCTGCTTCAGCGGGGGCTGGTCCTACGGTCGCGAGGCCCTTCATTCCTTATATCCTCGAAGGGTACAGGCTAGGCTGGGTTGTGCGCCTTTTTTTAAAGGGACCTCATGTTCCATCTGAGTCGTGGGCAACAAAACACCATGCTCTTAGGGTCAGGTCAAGGACCCGGTCACGGGGGCCTCCACTGTGCAGCTGCCGCGCATGCAGCCGCGGCCGCGTGCCAAGCTCCAGCATCCTGAGTGGGACGACTCGGCGTAGACTCGCAGCACTAAATGCTACAGCTTTTCGACCGACCTTCTTGGCTAGCTGCACTCGTGGTGCTGCTAAGCAGGCAATTATGGGCTGCATCCCATGAGCCTGCCGATTGTTGTTAGTTTGCCCATGTCTGGTGCTTGCTCTCTCAAAACAGAACCGAAGCTGACTGCACCGAAGGGAGGCATCGGCTTCCGCCCATGCCGTGATTTTTTCGCCACCCGCCTAGCTTAAGAATTCGTGCAGCAGGGCCTTCCACACGTAAACTCTTGGACAAGGGTTTCGTCAAAAGCGCTCCCCATCGCATAGGGATTTTGCCACCGCCAAGCAGGCCAGCCACACTGCAGGGTCTCAAGGTGTAGGATTGAACTCTCAGTTCAACATTCCAGCTCAAATTGAAATGGCAGGAAAGAACCATTTCACGAACAACCAAGATGATCAATAAACACGCATGCATGCGGTGTCCGCGCACTGAGGCCGCACCATCACGTAGAAAGCATCACCCAATCATGATAAAAGGATGAAAAAAACACAAAAAACGAATTGAAGAAGCGCAACCCATTTTGAACATGCGCATGTACAGTTGGCGCGTACGGCGCATACGGTGCGTACAGCGCCGTGGGGCGCGTGCGGTGCCTGTGCCTGCGTCTGGCACCGTGCGCTCTCTGCGTACGCACCGTGCGCACCGTGCGCACCGTGTGCGTACATAGCATGCGCATGCACTGTCTGTGTTCACCAGACGCACCGTACGCCACCACACTGACCATACAGTAGCACACCTGAGTGTACAGCTTTCAGGGTCCTTTGCATAGCATTCCGTCTGAAATTATAAGTTCTACCTCAAAGCTTACAACACCTTGAAATACTAGGACACAACTCCTCGAGCACCTTCACTCCAATGTCGGCCCAAAGCCTCGAACTTTAAAAAACCGGGCCGGGGCGCCGCCGGACAGTCGCGGAGCAGCTGCACAGCCTTCTGCCAATCGTGGCTCCTGCGACACTGATGGGCTTGGGCCCTCCTTGATCCTCCTTGCTTGGGATGTTGCCCCTTATACTAACAGTCCTTAGTTGGGGATTCTAATGGGGGGTACTCTACTCCCTATTAAGGACTGGCAGCAGAAGGGGGAACATCCCAATTACAAGATGTACACTGATGGAACCCTCAGCTCCTGCCATGTTGCACCAAAGCCGCGACAAGCTCCCGAGGCCGGGATGGCCCCGGCCGCCTGCGGGGCCCACCACGTGCCAAGAAGTCCTCCGGTCTGGGTTTAGGGTTTAGGGTTTTCTGCTTGGGGTTTAGGGGTTTTTTGGGGGGTCTAGGATTTAGGGTTTAGGCATGAAGCAACAAATCTCACAAAACCGGCACGGACGTGTTGCCGTTGCTGCCTTGTCGGGGGAGGCTCGGGCGCCCACGCTTGAGGCCAACGGAGCTGCTAAGGGTTCAAAATGTGCTCCGGGCTTCTTGAACCCTGCGACCGCGGAACTGCCACAAACGTCCGGCGGCGCCAGAGGCCAGCCTACAGGGGAGAAAGAACGTGATCTTGGAATAAAAAACACAGCCACCGCTCATCAACAGCGCAATGCAAAGCACTATACGAAGCCACCGATAGACAACATCCGGCCTCATCGGATGCTGCAGCCAGCCTGCAGAAAATGACAGCACACCAGGGATCATCACAGGATCACTGCTCGCGTACCTTCGGATCTTGCGGTGGCGGCTAACATGCAACGTGGCGGCCCTCAGCAGGGGTTCCAAAATGGGCATGGGATCCGACAGAAGAATTTTCGATTCACCTCAAGCATGGCCTCTTGAAACCTTTCCGAAATCTTGGACTCGTCGGAAACCCCTCCCCCGCACCAAACGACTTGCGCCACCTTCGGGCTGCTGCACGCATTCGCCCAGGCCACCCCTGCGGAGCTCACGATGGCAAGTTTGTGTCAGCGATTTGGGCCTGTGGAAGATTTCAGGATGTTGGGCTGACTTGAAGAATGGTGGGTCTACTGCTTTTCGTGCTCAAACCTACCTTTGCGATGCAAAACAAGGGCTTGCTGTCCTCCTGTGCCTGAAGTCCAAGTTGCGATGTTTGCCACCCGTCAGGGTTTTGGGTTTGGGCGGCGAACCATACTGCACAGCTGGTGGAACCGCTGCTGACTTGAGTTTGCGGTGGGGATTCAGCCCACGTCCGAAACCCTAACTCCTCAAACATCGCCTACATCCGACTCATCCTGACCAGGGCAACTCTTGAAGCCCTTGAGTATGCCCGAAACTTTCCCGAAACCCTAGAAACCGTCTGACAAAGTCTGAGCTTTTCAGGTGTTGCGTTGAGAGCTGAGGGGTGGGCACGGCTGTCCACGGGTTTGCTTCACTTTTGCCAAGACACTGCGCCGGCATGGCAGGCTGGCGGCTTGCCATGGCCGGGAATTAGCTATATCTATTTGTTAAGGAATGATATAGGGTACCTCATTCCCCCATTCCCTACTAGCCAACGGTAGGAGGGTAGGAGGAGCATGAGGGCGTGGGGCATGAGGGTGTTGGGGCTGTTGGTCGGTTCCATCGTGCTGAAAGTCCCAAACTCCGGACTTCCAACGCAAACTCGTCAATGGCTTCATTGTTCATGAGCAAGGTCTGGGCTTTAGGTTCAGGTCCTATGAAGGATGCTTACTGGGGGATACGGCTGACAGGCACCCACAGCTTCGGAAAGTGTGCGGCAGAAAGAAAAGACAAAGAGCCTTTGGGTGGTTGATCTACAGACTTAACAAGAACGCGGCGGTGGACCCCAAGTGGACCTTGGTGAACTTGTTGCTACCGGCCAAACTTTCACGATACCCTCAGCCCTAAACACCTCCTCTGGCAGCGCCCCATGTTTTCTGCGGTCCATGGCTTTGTCTGCGCAGAGCCGGCCGCCGTCTCCTGGAAAGCTCCGTTTTGTGCCATCCGCTTTGATTCGGGATTCCAGGCTGGGGCATTCGGCTTTCTGTTGGCATACTGCGTCTACAAGCGCAGGCTCGCTCAAGGTCGCAAAGGCGGCACATCCACTGCACAGTCGCGGCAGAACCCTCGCCATTTTGCCGCAGCGCCCCGTACTTCGGCAGACTCAGAGTTCAGGGCCTCTCTGTCTCTGCCTCGCTGGCTTTAGGCCTCAGGATGTACAAGAGCTTTGGGAGACTGAAGCCGGCCACGTGCGCACCAGTCAGTGAGGGCCGCCGGAGCAAATCAGCGGCCGCACGCGGCCACAGTCACACATGCTGTGCGCAAATTTCACCTGCAAGGGCTTAGCTTCTAACCCGACAAGCTCAAAAGCCGGCTCGAAACCCGTCAGAACTTCGGCACATGTGTAGTTTCCACTGGGCTTTGGTCTTGCGTTCTCCGGCCCCTACATTAACCTCCAAAGCAGCCTGTGTTGAGATGCACGATGTCTGAGAGCACATCGCTGCCGATTTGCCGTGCTTTGGCCGACTTGTTGTTGAGGTTCCTGTGTGAGGCGGCACGGGATCAAAGGAGGGAGGTATACATCGTGATGATTCCCTTTTGCAACTGGGCTTGAGGACTAGCCAGATTCCCTAAACTCTAAACCCTAAACCCTAAACCGCACTTTACGAGGTACTACGACTGCCCAACAAGGGAGCCCAAGGCGAGCCCCCACACACAAACAGCAGGGGGGGGCCGAGTGCTTTAGTCAAGAAGCCTCAGCAGCAATCTCCCAGTGTGCAACCTGGGAGCCATGAACGGAACAGAGAACCGAATGATTTGGGGGTTCCGAAAATAGCACGTGCCCTTTTTCGGGGGTCCCTTTAAGAGGATTCTATTCCCTTTGGGGTATGAACGGGGGGTTACCCCTATTTGGGAAGACCCATTTACGCACAACTTGCTGTAGTATGGTTTGTACTATGGTTTGCCTTAGCTGTGCTGCTGCCTCTGGGTCCCAGCTTCATACCAAGCAGCGAGACGAACTCTTCGACCACTTTCTTAACCTCAGCTGGGCACTGCAAGGCTCCCAGCATGCGAACACACCGAGTTTTGTGTGTGCCCAGAAGTCGAAGCTGGCTTTCGCCCTGTTTTCATGGGTTTTATCTGCTTTTAATAGGGAGGAGTCTACATAAGTTTAAAAAGGGGCAGCGATGCCCGGCAATTGGGTTTAAAGGCACGCCGCGTTGGAAGAATTCTTTTCAAGGCCAAGACGCCAACTCTCTTCTGCCGGCTTCGGATGCAGCCGCAGCCCACGCCGGGCCTGAGAGGAGCCTCACAGAGCAGTGCTTTCTGGGGGATTTCAGCGCAGGCCGGTCTGCGCAAGGACTCCTAAGGGGGGTTCCGCAAGTAGGTGCACTGATTGGGGTCCTGATGAAACAGGGGATCCTACTATTGCGGTCTAATTTAGGGGTCCCTGATTTTCGTAGACCCCACTCGTGTGGATACTCAGCTCCGTTCAGCTCAGGCGCGCCGCATTGTGCGCCAAAACAACCTGCCAAGGCTGGCAATGACCAGTCGCATGAGTCGCATGAGTCGCATGCGTCGCATCTCTCTCTCTCTCTCTCTTTCTTTCTTTCTTTCCCCTCTATCTCTCTCTGCCGTGCCACGATAAAGCAACTAAAAAAAACAAGACTCAGGTTCAAGGCCTGGTCCATGTCGAGCAAATTTAGCTCCAGACCATCGAATCCCAAGCCCTGCCGGCATTGGACAGAAACCTGACCGGTCTTTATGGGATTTGAGGGGCTTCACGTCTACCGGTTTCCTAGGGCTCAAACCACACCGAAAACGATCAAACCATACCAGCTGCTTGCAAGTTTCTTGGAGCTGGAAGTGAAACGGCTCATTGCAGCACACGTTGCCACTGTACCACTCCTTGTCATCCACAAAGACGTTGATGAATACCTTTGACAGCCACAAAGGGAGGGTTGCTTTTTTCCAAACCACTGCACCCTAAGGCCTCACCTATAAGCCTCCAAGTGCAGCCAAAGCTCTTGCAGGTCTGCAAAGGCCGCCCGAATGTCAAGGTGCCACAGTTGCACGGCCTGCGTTCGTCTCAAAAAGGGACGACACTTCAAACCTTAGGCTAGAGCTTTGGCTTTGCGGGTGCAGGCGTTTTGACAAGCTGGGGTGCTGGTATAGAGCTCGCGGGAATTATTTCGAGCAGGAAGGTCTCTGAATGTCTCTGACTCTTATTACCCTTTCCGCATGCCCTGCATCCTGCACGTCTCTCCTCTCGATCTAGCAGTCCTCTGAGACCCTGCCTGAGACAGGTCCGGCGGGCGCTGTAGGTGGAGGCTCTCCAGCTCTAAGGAGTTCACGCCCTGTGGCTTCCTAAGGGCCCTGAGGCTCATGACATGACTCCCAGGAGGGAAGCTGGGAGTAAGAAGTTTGGCGGCTGTACGAATAAAGGTCTGCTGACGGGAACACTCCATGCAAGCATACCCATGACGCCCCTACCCTGCAAAGTGGATTTCGAAGGAAGCCCCCTTGCCTTCGCCCAAACAGCCTTGAGCTTCATCCGATGCCTCAGAGTCAGCAGGCTTTTGGCCAGGCGGTTTGCCCAGAATTTGCCCGGCGCCCTCAGGCGCAAGACTGCGAGGCCCCTTAGGGCCCTTTCGGGGACTCGAGGGGCCCTGACGTGCATGGTCAAACCCACCAAACGCAATTGTCTGCAAGCTGCTTGGAGGCGACTGTGCCCACCTAAGCCAAGCGATTTTTTGTTTTGCCCGATCGATGTTCAGAGGGCCCTTTGCTTTATATAGGGAGTTTGCGGATTGCGGTCTGGGCTGCTTCGGTGGGCGGTTCAGCTCCAGTTGCTGCTTCGGGATTGACGATTAGGGGCTCCAGGGGGCTTGTTTTGCCATTCAGGGCGCAGCTTAAGGGTTTAGCCTGGCGCTCAAAAAGGAAACACTCGCACCCGAGTTCTGGTCCGTGAGGTCTCTGATACTACAGACAGCAGGGCCCGAAATCCAGCACCAGCGCGCCTCGGTTTCTCGTTGCAGAAGCGGTGTGGTCCCTGAGCCTTGCATGCTGGGGTTTGGGCAAGCCCTACTGCTGAAGAAAGAAGGCAGACAAACCCTTCTCTGCACCCAAGACCCCACGTGCTTCAATCCCAGGGACAGTCTGCAGACTCCGCCCAATGCGAGCTGGCTGGCACCTCACCTGGGAGGTGGCGAGCTGGGCTGGTGGCAGGCTGCGCCACACACGTTGAAACCAAGTCTCACACCCGACTCCGACATCCGACTTCCCACGAACCGACATGTCTTCGGCAGACTGCATCGATATGAAGGCAGGTCCTCTTCAAATCCCAGCGCACAATCTCACTCGCAAGCATTGACCCCTTTCAGCTGAATGGCCTTGTTCCACGCGATGGTTCCAGAGTGCCGAGCAGTCGCCTTGCATGACTTCGCGGCCGTTTGCTTGACACAGCCACCCGATAATGATGAAGCCAAGTCGCCGTTTGGGTTTAAGCTTGGGTCATGCACATGACGGTCCCTTCAACCCCCTACCTACAACACCTGGAAGGCAGTGAATCCAAGAGTTAAAAAACTAACTCTGAAGTTTATTGCCCGGCATCGGGCCGGCTTGGACCCCTTAGGTCCAGCACAAATTATTTATGATTTAATTGGCCCGCGAACCTTGCGCGACGCACCATTCCATGCCGAGCCGGCTGCTCAAACGGCACAACTAAATCAGGATTTAATTGTTTCTCCTACCCTGCCCCCAACCGCGACCAAAATTAAATCAAGATTTAATGGATGTGAATCAATGACCAAGCCTGAATACGTGTCAGATCGGGAACCACCTAAACCACTAGGACACCCAGGGAAACCAGATAATTAAGGAATACCATGTTTATGTTGAGATCTCGGAAGTCCGAAGGCAAATTCGCCGTAAGTGAGTAGAACAGTACAACCTAGTTCAACAATCAACATAATCTTCAATGACAAGTGATGCTGAAGAAAACAACCACGGAATGGTGCGACCCTTACTTCGAACCTGATAGGTAGCAGCATAAGGATGCAAATACCGGATTAAATCATGATTCAATGGTCCTGATAAGTACCAACTACATTCCTGGTGTTTACGGACAAGGATGCCGAAATACCACATTAAATCATGATTTAGTGGGGCAGATAGGTACCAACTAGCATAAGTCTCACAGGAGAAGCTGCTTGACAATAAACCCAGGATTTAATTGTCTATCGGTCGAATGCAACAAAACAAATAAAACCATATCTAATTGTCTATCGGTCAAATGCACAGAAAAACAACAATTAAAACAAATTAAATCCAGATTTAATTGTCTATCGGTCGCATGCACAAGAAAACAATTAAAACCAGATGTAATTGTCTCATAGGTCCAAGGTAGGTCAAACCCAACCATTAAATCAGGGTTTGTTGTTTTGTGAGTTTCTGTCATTGGTTCTCTACAACACCCTCCAAAAATGCCACGTGGCCAAAGGTTTGCGTCACGTCCTTGTGCAAATGCTGGTTGAGCAGGACAACCATGCTGTCAAGATGGCGGTTCAGGTCCTTGTGGAGGGCCAAATAGGGGCCAAAGCTTATGGAACCCTTTAGCCCTAATGCACATCACTGTGGCTGTTAAAGCTTCTGCAACACAAGCACACTGCAGGGATTGTTGACTGATAGACTCGATTGTTCAAGCCTTTCGGCTTCGGTTTCAGCATATCCCCGCAACCAGGGTCGCAAGTCGCACGTTCTTGCCTCATCATCACACTTCCGAGTTCGGCTGCATCCACACAAATCCCTAAGCACAGAGTCCCCCGCATCTGAAGACGCGACCCTCGAACCTAAACACCCAGCCTGATGCCTAACAACCCCACACTCCGTCTCTGTCCCCCCCCAACTTCGCTGCATGGCAGGCTCCTCGACGTCCTTCGGCTTCGAGTGGCGCACGGGCCCATGCGTGGAGAAGAAGAGGCCGATGGCCAGCATCGTCAAGGCCGGCCTTCTCCAGGCGCACGGAACCACGAGACAAAGTAAACTGGCAAGACCAGCAAAACCAGCACAGACTCAACACAACTTGACACATGCATATCAACCTGGGAGCAAGCGTGAGGCCGGAGCCCACTTCTTGCTTGGTAAGAAGCCTTTGTGCTTCTTGAATGACAAAACATCCCAGTTCCCAACAGGCCTTCTCCAACCCCTGAATTTTGATCTTTTGATCCAAACTCGAAGCCCAAGAGCCTGGCAACAAACAAAGCTGAGGTCAGCCCCCCTCCACAGGTTTCTGGGATCCCCGGCCCACCCAACCAGAACGGAGCACCCCCTGGGGGCAGCGAAGACGGCCCCGGCTTGGCTTTCGCCATGTGAAGCAGCGCGTAGGTGCCTTCACATGGCATGTCCAGAGACTTCGGTGCGGAAAGATTCTTGGGCTTGGAGGTGCGCGGACCAGCGGGGCCCCTCGTGTTTTCCCTGTGTGGGGCTAGACATCTCATATCGTGGTCCCTGACTTCCGCGTGTTGCCCGGCTACGATCGCTAAGTTGGGACACATGTCTGAAAATGGAGAGCAGCGGGTCCCCAGGCTTCTACCCCGAGATGATGGAAGCACGGATGCAATTTTAAGTTCACCTTAACCTCCCTAAGCAAGAGCTCCTGCGCCGCTACACACAGCCTCTTCACGGCGCAGGTGCTGGACCCCCACGCGCCTAGGCCCATGCAGAGGATGGCTGCTGGTCCCAGCGGCATGGACGGAATCTTGGCACACACCTCCGGGCGTAGAACTCCCAGAAACCGATTTGGGCATTTTCCCAAAATAGGGGGACCCAGTTAATACCCCAAATCGTAGAGAATCCCCGAAAGGGACCCCCCAAACAAGGGTACCCCGATTTTCGGACACCCCCATGTTGCCATGGAGGCCACTTTCAGTCCCCCCAGCCTCCATGGTGTTCTGGTTTCGTGCCATCCTTATTTGGGAACAAGCTTCGATCCGAAAGGCCACTGCAACGTTACAGGGCCGCAACTGGCCTTTCAACCAACCTGGAGGCATTCCAACTTCGCCGCCTGTACTAAACGCAAGCCTTGACGAGTGGACGGTTCATGAGGGCGGCAAGTGATGAACGGGCCAAGTCCCGCTGTCGAGGAACGGCACCAACCCCAGTTTTACAACACATTCACGGTTGCAGGGTGTTGGGTTGGGGCCACTTATTTACCACGTCAAACCGGAACCCTGCCATGAGCCAAAGGTCACAATGTAGTAGACCAGAACCTGAGCTCGCAATGCACCATGGCCACAACGGCGACGAAGGCTACCGCACAACTATCAACACAACTACCATGGCTACGACCACTGCCAATACTAACTTCCTCGTACACGACGGTAGGTGTACAATATGCCCCTTCCTTCGTTTCGCCCAATGGGCCTCTGACTTATTGGGTGTACGACCCACATGGGCACATAGGCAATCCGATGCCGCCGAAGGAAGAAGAAGGCCGAGGAGCCAGTGATGCTGCCCAGATGTGGCACATCACCTAAGTCCACATCCGCCACTCAGACCGCACGGGCAGAAGGTCTGCCCAGGCCTCAAGAAGTGCTAATACCACGTTTATACAACCTTGAAGTAAAGCAGCGAACAAACTCCAACATTCGAGACCCTCCAGAAACCCCCCCAGAAAAATGAAAACAGGCGGGTCACCCACGGCCGCAGCCAGGGCTCCGCGGAGCCCAGGCTCGAACCAGCCAAAAGTCGGGCGCAGAGCAGCACCTACCCAGCTTTAGCTCAGACAGGACTAAGACGCTGGAAAATCACCTGAAGCATGGCGACGCGCATGATGCGGTGCGTCGAAGGCAAGAGATAATTTCGAAGTTTGGGGCATAGCGGAGTTCCTAACAAAGTTTCCGGGCACACACTGCAATTGCAACATAGAATGCGAGCACACTTGCAGAGAGGATTAACCACATGGGCCGGGATACAATCCACAATGACGGCAGCACGATCCTTGGCTTGGTCGTGGTAGCTAAACATTCCGCGACATCTGGGACCATGCTTAATACTTCTCTTTCCTACTTTGCCTCAATCGCGCGGCTTTTCCACTCTCTACTGGTCACAGCCCTGCCCCCCAATCCTTGTCCCACCTGGCTGATCTTGTGCTGGCTATGGGTTTGTTCGATGCGCAAGGAGTTGTCTAGATTTGTTCAGTCTAAGAAACGTCTGAAAATCGCGACAGCACAGTAGCATGATGTGGCTAAACTTGTCTAGCTATACCTCCGGTAGGCTGAAACTCTTCAGACAACACAGTCGCCAAGAATTAGATCTGCAAGGGTACCCTGAAGTTGTTTTGCTGCCGGCAGGGCTTGCCATGCTGATCCATGCTGTTCGATGTGGGCTCGTGGCAGGTGTCGGCAGCCGTCGCAGCTCGGGTGGCCGTATGGCTGAAAGCTTGCCCTCTTACTAAGCCCACTCGCAACGAAGCTGTACATCTGTTGCGGTGCTTTTTGTTGCTATTTCTTGCTGGCCCGATGTTCCTGCAGCAACCCGACAACTCCGACATGGCCACGTTGTGAGGCCAGAGCGAGAGGTGTCGCGCCTCGGGACGTGACGGCGTCGGTGAGAGGTCCGCATGCGAGCAGGAGTCGAACGACCTCCCCGCGGCCATCTTCACATGCCAGGTGAAGAGCTGTTGCTCCACGCTCGTCGGCCTTGTTTGCGTCAGCACCATCCGCCAGCAGCAGCCGCACGACTTCTGCACAGCCTGCGTCACATGCCATATGGAGCGGAGTGGCGCCGTGCTTCTCGACTTTGTCCTTGTCAGCCCTTGCTGCCAGCAGCAGCCGCACCACTTCCACATGGCGCGCATCAGAGGCCACATGCAGCGGTGTTGCGCTCTCCCTGTCTGGCCTATCCTTGTCAGCACGCGCAGCCAGCAACAATCGCACAATCTCCAAGTGGCCTGCATCGCATGCCATGTGAAGTGACGTCGCGCCAGTGGCCAGGTGGGCCTTGTGCAGACCCGTGTCTGCTCTGGACTTCAGCAGAAGGCGCACGACTGTCATGTGCCCATTCTGGGAGGCCATGAACAGAGGTGTGGCACCACGCCTGTCCGCCACCTCATGATGCGCACCAGCTTCCAGCAACAGTCGCACAACTTCAGCATGTCCGTCTTCACAGGCGATGGCAAGAGGCGTTGTGCCCTGCATGTCGGCATTTTCCTTGTCTGCCCGTGCTGCGAGCAGCGCACGGGCAATTTCCAGGTGGGCAATATCGCAAGCTACATGAAGGGGAGTTGCACCTGTGGCCAAATGGGCCTTGTTCACATCGGAGCGCACCTCTAACAGTAGCCGCACAACCTCCAGGTGGCCAAACTGAGTTGCACTGTATAAGGTTGTCGCACCGGTGATTGTGCAAACTTCGTTTTTGTCGGCGCCCGCTTCTAACAGTAGCCGTACCACTTCACTGCACCCGCTGCGACATGCTGCGCAAAATGGTGTGGTGCCTGTGACTGGCTGTACTTGCTCTTTGTCAACACTGGCCTCCAGCATGAGCCGAACAATACCAATGTGCCCACGAAGACATGCGAGGTGCATGGGCGTTGCGCCATGAATATCCATCGTGTCCTTACCACAACCGGCCTCCAACAATAAGCGGACAATTTCAGCGGAACCCCTAGCAGATGCGAGGTGAAGTGCTGTCTCTCCACGGTGCGTCGTCTGCTCCAAGTCAGCACGGGCCTCTAACAACAATCGAGCACATCTCTCACCCCCCCTGTCTGCTGCCATGAGCAGTGCCGTCCATCCGCGGCCATCTCTCAGATTGGGATCCTGTGGTCTCTGCAGGATAGTCTCGACCTCGTCAGCAACATCACGGGCAACAGCCGCAGTGAGATGCCGCACTTGCTCTTCAGACGAGGGAGAGAACGCAACCAGCAGCAGCTGCAACTCACAGCTCGAATCCAAGGAGTCACTGTCCTGCAAGATTCCCCCGTCCGCACGAACCAGGCGCTGTTGAAACCTGGACTCCCCAAAGCATTTGCTCAAGTGCCGCTTGAGGCTGCGAACAGATCGGCTCTCTCCCGGCAGAAGCCCCTGCAACGCCTCCGTCTTCACCAATATTTCCCGGCCTGACACCGACTGTATGCACAACATTGTCACAAGGCAGGCCCGAAGTTGCCAAGGCTGTCCTTAAGAAATGCGTCAGTGGCCGGCTGATGACTGGGCTGTTGCCTGCAATCGCGAGGGAGACCCCTCGCAAATGCAAATGGGGGATGCCCCGTAGGATTTACTACCTGCCACTGTTGGTCAGAGACTGAGCCACATGGCGACGATCGTGAGAGCGTTATGTCTTGAATCGGTTCTACACGACAGCTCTTCAACCCGACTTGCCTGTTCACACTCAGAGAAGTAACCCACCGTGAAAGGCCTTCAACTGCATGACTGTGGCATGCAGCTTCATGTGGACACTCATGTGGACCTGGCCGCGGCCTCCGTCGCGGCTTCCACCCCACAACCATGCAGAACTCTTCAGAACTCGTAACTCCCCAAAGCTGCAAGCGAGAGTCACTGTGACTGCAGAGAAGCACATCAAGAAGCGGTTCACGGATCCGATGCTCCACCACAAGTCGAGGACCGTCGGGGTCACGCGGTGGATTGCCACACCTGCACAAGGCTTTGCACCAGGGGTTCCTCACAACTTTGTGGGGTTTTTTCTCGGGAGCTCTTGTATCGATTCAAGCCGAGCATCCAGGGCTCACGAAAAAAGAGTATGACTTTGAAACTAAGGTTTCATCGGTCCATACCGGTCCCCTCTTTCATATGGCAGCTGCCTGCAATCCGAAACTCGAACTCCAAGTATGGATGCATCAGGGCAATCCAGATGCCAGCAGCAACAACCCCAGCCGCCATCATCAAGATGACTGCCTGAGCTGATCAAGAACTAGAAGCTTCGGCCTTCGTTTGTCAGTTGAGCTTTTTGCGCACGGTCTTTGATGCGTTCTGTTCTTGCCTTACTCGAACGAGTGCTGGGGCTAAGAGCTGACGGCGAACGCGAGGCGACACTCGCTCTCGGCCAGCCGCACAGTTATGGCACAAGCTTTCTGAAAGCAGAAGGCGGTGCCTGGATTGGAAAAAAAACACACTTCGATCTGAGTTGTTCGGCATGCGTGTCCGGCCCACGAATTGCGCCACCCCTCCTATTGAAGCCGATTGAGGAGGTGCTCGGTTTGGTGAAAACCCGCGTCTGTAGACGCCGACCCCCTTCGGTGCCTCAACCGAAACCCCAAACAACCACAGGCCCAAACGAACAGCCCCCACCCCCCCCTAAGAATTGACACGAGGCAATCTCTGGGCATCGACTGGTGCAGCTGTACAGCTGGAACATGGCTTAACTCTTTTCCCCTCACTATCCCTCACTCTCAACATGGCCTGCATGCTGCTGCCATCCTGCTCTTAGTGGCCACACGCGGCGTGCACTTTCCTTCTTTCTTTCTTGGGGGCATGAGGGCACGGGGCCCTCGCGCGACGTGCTCTATCTCTCTCTCTCTCTCTCTCCCACACGCATAACCCCCCCCCCCCCCCGAAAAGAGGGTGCAGGGGCGCGCACGTCCAAGGTCTGTTGGTGTGAGAGTCCCTTCCGTGTTCGGTGAGTTGGCTCGTTGGCCATACTGGGGGTTCGCGACGTGCTCTCTCGCCCCCCCCCCGGTGTTCACAGCCCCGTGTCATGCCTCACCTGGGTTGGAGATTGCCTTTCCCGATGATAACATGCCCCCCCTCCCGTCGTGCGCTTTCTCTCTTTCTTTCTTTCTTGGGGGCATGGGGGCAAGCCCCCGGGCGTACGCGCCCGCCCCGGTATTCAGGGCACCTCCAGGTTGGACAGTTCGGGAGAAGGTCACCGGCGTGACTGTTCCCCACTCCCCCTGTGCCTGAGGCTGACGTCACTCCGGCCGGTGCTCTTCCCCCTCCCCGCTGGTTGCTACGTCACTGACTCGGCTGTGCATGGCCATCTCTCTCTCTCTCTCTCTGGTTTAGGCAGTATCGGCTTCGTTCTCAGCTTCGTAGTACGTCAAGCCCGGCCCTGCACACTACGACCCACTACATCTTTGAGTCTTCGGGCCTTTCAAATTCAAGGGCTCACGGGAGGTGCTCGATTCTGATGGCATGTTGTACCATGGGGGGAAGCTGGGCGCCGGACTGGCGGCTTGGGCTGTGAGTCCTCTGCTCCAGACTCCTCCGAGAGCTCAGCCTCGTACACGTAGCCGCTGAAGTGCCTCGGGAGATTCAGGGACTTGCGCAAGGCGGGGTGGGTATGGGGTAGCTAGCGATTTACACAAGGAGAGAAGGGAAGAAAGACACAACTAAAGTCAAAACCCTGCTGAAGAAGATCAAGCCCTGAAGAGGTGCGATGAAACATATGCAACCTTTCTAAACCCTCCGAGGAAAATACAGGGACAACAGCGGAATCTTTTTTTGAAATCTAGAAGAAGGAAGAGCTTTCTAGAGGTTGGGACTACATCTTGGTAGGAGGACCTTTATTACTTTGTAATGTATACGAAAAATATAGTTCCCGTACATACTTTATCGGAAAGCCTCGCTTTCCTTTATGCGTTTATAGGCAGGACATCTATGTCCTCTAGATCCTTTAGTAGGAAACGCTCTATTTCCTCCATCTTCTTATGGAAACCTTTATTTCCGTTAAAGCTCGATGCCTCTGTTTCCTGAATGTTAATAGGAAAACCTTCATGCCCTCTGCATGTTAATCGGAAGACCCAGACCAACCAAAGGTTCACGCCGCCACAAGAAAGGATTAGAACTCCTCGCCCGTCACAAAGACAGCAAAAATACAAAACACACATATCAATAGATACATGTGTGTGATTGTGTGTGTGTGTCTGTCTGTCTGTCTGTCTGTCTGTCTGTCTGTCTGTCTGTCTGTCTGTGTCTGTCTGTCTGTCTGTCTGTCTGTCTGTCTGTCTGTCTGTCTGTCTGTCTGTCTGTCTGTGTGTGTGTGTATGTCACATCTATTGAGATGACCGCTGAGTCGCAAGAAGGGATTCCGCTTGCTACCGTCTTCGGAGCATTTCATGGGTAAGTCCGTGGATGTCATTCCTTTAACAGGGTTTAGGGTTTAGGGTTTAGGGTTTAGGGTTTAGGGTTTAGGGTTTAGGGTTTAGGGTTCAGGGACAGCGCATAGTGATATTGGTCAAGGTCCAAATTGGACTCCGGGCTTTCGGAAAGACCCGGGATGCCCAAACAGCCCTCACGCCGAACCACCTGCACCATTCCCACAGCTCGCTTTATGTATTTATCTATCTACTTGTTTCGTGCGTGACTTCGCAATGTCTTGATTTTGTAGCTTCTGTTTTCTGTGCCTTTCTGGCCTCTCGACGCATGTCTTCACTTAGCTCTTTCTTTCGTTCTTGGTTTATTGGTCTCTGCATTTCTGTTTGTGGATGTTTCTTGATATCCTTCGACCATTTTCTGGATTTATGCATCTCTTTTCTTAAGTACATCTGTCCTTCTTTCGTTCTGTCGATCTGTCTTTATGTCGTGTCGCTGCTATATCTGTCTTTATGCATGTATTTCTTTATTTCTGCGTGTATGTATTTACTTGTGTCTTTCTTTCCTTCTCTCGTTCCTTCTTTCTTTCTGTCGCTCAATCTCTATTTCTTTCAAATCCTCAATGTCGCCTACACTGAAATAGGAAACCCTCTATTTCCGCCATGCATACACAAGGACAACTCCTTTGCATTGTTAATCGGAAAACCTCCATTTCCCCCATGTTTTCAATAGGAAAGCCTCTATTTCCGCTCAGTTCTTACGAGGAAAGCCTCTAACACCTCTGTCTTGGTAAGAAACCCTAAAACTCAAAAAACATCCACCAAAACGCTACTATCCAAAACTGGGCAGCCCCTTGTTCACACATGGCTGTGCTAAGCTCTACTGAAGAGAAGAGTATCCCAGGCACATAGTTGGGTCTCAACTGAACCGGGTTCACCACCATACACCATCATGTGTCTCCTACACCCAAACCCTAAGCCCTAAATCTGAGACCCCGGCGGCTTCAAGGACCGATCCCTCCCCTTGATGCTCTTGCAGGAGTTCAGAAGTCCATCCTGAGAAAGCGTGCAGCTCTTAGGGTTGAGGGTTTAGGGTTTGAGGTTTTGCCACCCGCCTTGCAGACCCCCTCTGGGATCAGGGTTTAGGGTTTAGTGTTTGGGGTTTAGGGTTTAGGGTTTAGGGTAGAAAAGTGGAGGGTTTAGGGTATAGGGTTTAGCGCTTATGGCCCGGAGAAGCCAAATAATCTCCCCTGGACCCTTCTGCGCCCACAGCTTGGACAGGCTAGCCGAGGTCCGAATCACAGGAGCTTGCACCGGCCTGTGACGCTGCCTTGTTGCCAAAGCTTAAATTCGCCAACTCCATTTAATCGAACTCTGCTTGCAAGAGGACATGCCGCCGACAAAGAGAAAGGTCTTTGCCTGGCCCCGACTAGCCTCGAAAAAACGTTTTAAAAAAAAAAAAAAAACCTTCTCTTTTCGAAACCTCCTCTTCCGGACACTAGGCAAAGTAAACGCTTCAAACACCTGCACCCTAGCAATAAGCAATGTGATAAGCAAGATCTCAAGATCTGGATTTGGGCACTCCAGGAATACTCGGTCCAGGAAGCACTTCAGAAAGGGGCTCTGGCCTTGCAGTTATGCCTTCTTGGCGAAACCTGCAAAAGTCCTGGAATGAGGGTGAGGAGGCTGAGAATGATGAGGAGGGGTAGGATGGCCATGATGACATGCGAATGATGCGGCAAAAACAGCTTTAGCTATGCTTACCTTGCCAGCAATATTAGTCGCAGAACTTTGCACGTTTTTCTCACGGACCGAGGGCTGGGGCTGCTACAAACATGTGAGAGGCCTCGTGCACCCACTGTGATCTCAATGAACTGGTCCAAGCTGCTGGCTCTGGAAGGACGTTTGCCGGCTGCACCGACCAGGCAAGGATGAGGTTTGCCACGCAATAGGACAAGAAGAACCAGTAGCCATTGGTAAAGTATCCGCCGTATCGGATGTTGTCTGGATGCTGGTTCTCAATTGGAAGGCTCGCGATGCCAACTACCAGCATCATGATAGATGGCTGGGTGAAGCGCATGGGCGCCAGCGTCATGACATAGGTCCTTACAGCCCCAATGGCCCTTCCCACAAAGACTTAAAAGACGCCCGCGCGCACACTGACAAAAAGACTCGCAAACATCCGCAAGCACACCCGAAATGTTCTGGAACCCGGGAGAATGTAGGTGCTTAAGCCCAAGCAAGGCAGGGCGCTGCATCGACTGCCGCAGGTCCAAAGGGATGAATTCGGGGTTGAGGAGGATCAGGAAGATCCTTCCGACTGCTCACCAAGATTGATGGCACAAATCACAGCTCTTGCGGATTCCGGTGCAGGAAAACATCTGCAGGGTTAAGTCCTTGTGGGCTTTAGGGCCTCGAGAGTTTACGGGGTTTAGGATTTAGGGAAGGTTCAGGATAGTTCCTTCAAGCCATGTCCAAGGAGCATCAGGAATTGCAGCGGCGGCAGCAACATGGCATTGTATGCAGCAACCTCAGAGGCCCCACAAAGTGACGAGTTTGAGTGTGGAGACTCCGCTGATATTTCTCGAGAGCTGAGACTCACATCACGGCCTCAAAGAAAAACCCAAAATCCCACACCCTAAGCTCCCTCTTGCCCTGGCAGGTGTGGGTTTCAGGGCAACCCCCGGCATGACCAGCTGGGCAGACCATCAGCAGGGCAGCGGGACAATGAATCTTGGGACGATCAGCTGTGCCTGGCTGAAGCAAGCCGGCGAGAGCGAACTCACAATGCCGAAGGTTGCTTAGTTTGCCTGGATTCTCTGCAGGATCCTGTGCTGGATAGGCACTCCACGGATAATTCCTCTCTGGAGCGGCACTCCAGGGCAAGACACGCGGGTGAGGGGCACGGCACAGCTGAGAGGCGAGGAGAATCATACACCGAAGGCGAGTCAAAATCCGGCGCGGAAGTTTAAGGTCTGGAACTGAGGTTTCTGACCAGCACTATTTGAGAAAGGCTGGCTAGCAGTCATGCGGCTTTTCTTGAGGCGAGGATCCGCGCGTGGCGGATGCTCTGAGGTGTGGTCTGGGCTCGACCCCCTTTGGCGTGACAGGCCCGATCCGCGAGATTCCGTGAGTGCTCGAAGACCTCGGAAGACCCAGCCATCCGCCTTCTCCAGGCGAGATACCTCACCCTGACAAGTCTCAGCTCCCGCAGTCCACAAAAGGTGGTGGCGAACTGACCCAACAACGGCCACGGCCAGTGCCATTATCGTGCATGTCAGGAGGGGTTCGTACCCGAAACCTAGAGCCTCAAGACAAGGCCTTGAAACTCAGCACCCGGCAAATGCAGAGCACGGTAGTTGCCGCTGATACAGCCACCGGATCACGTCCATGTAAGACTCCCCTGCCAGCATTGTCGGTAGAGCTACAAGTTTGGGGCAGAAGAAAGGCACTTTTGGGGCCGATCTACACCGAATCTACGCTTGAACCCAAGCCGGGAAGTGCACAAGCCGTGGCATGGGATGTTGGGGAACTAGGCTAGGCAGTGCCTTCTTGGGGGTCGGGGGCGCGGTGTCCTCACTGCTTGTATCCTCCCTGCATGAAAGAGTGCTGCGCGCACACACACACACACACACACATATTTCCTCTCTTCTTTGCCCGCTTAAGGAGCCCCCTCTGCGCAGGAGGGGCCCGGCAGCTATGGCCAAGCGGGTTCTGGGTCCTGACACTCCCTCTCTCTTTCTCTTTTCTTCTTTCATGGGATGTTGCTGTAGCTGCTGCAGTACTCGAGATGCACTCATGCTATTCAAACTTCTTCTAATACCGCAAGGCAACCAGCCGTACCTAAGAAGAACACATTGTCAACCGCAGGACCAACCGCGGCCCGCATGCGTGAGATGTACGGAAGAAGTACCGGCTCCACGTAGCAATTAGCAACAGCTTCACGAGGTTTAGGGTTGAGGATCTTGGGTCTAGGGTTTAGGGCTTCACGTCCAGGGAAGAGTTTGCAGACCCGGAATGAACACGTGGCTGCTTGGCTTCAGTGGCTGCTTGGCTTCATTGTGCGTTGAGTTTGTCGAAGTTCGGTTTAGTAGGCCTGCCACTCAAAAATGTAGCAAGCGAATGGACAACAAAAAGCAACAACTTGACTTCAGCTCGCACCACTTAACTTGAGCATGTAGCAAAACCCTGAATGACTTGAAGTGGCCACATCTCAGTTAGGCAAAGCCTGGCTGTTGGCAACAAGCCCCGACCCCTGCGCCTTGGGAGACCCGGTAGCCTTCCGAGTCCTCGTGAAACCATGTCACGTTGGGCAAGGTGCACTCCTCAAGCATGCGTGTTGCGCTCAAAGGCTCTGAGCCCCTAAACCCTAAACCCTAAACCTAATTCCTAAACCCTAAACCCTAAACCCTCAAGGTTTATATAGATGTTAAGGGTTGGCGCTTCGGGGCTTGAGCTTCAAGGGTTCAGGACGAAACTTTCCCCAAAGTTTGCCCAGGGTCCGTGTAGATGAGTGGCACATGGACGCCAATGATCTGGCACAGGATGCAAAGAGGAAGGAGGATCCACTGCCACCACTGGCTTCCAGCACCTCGGAAGCTGCTCACACACACATTGCCCGCACTCCATGACACGGTAGAGATGGAGCTGGTGTAGGGATCTAAGCCATCTGACCTCAATGCAACCATGACGAATCTGATCATGATCGGCACGACCATTTTGCGCAATGATTGAACCGTCAACGATGCACGTAAGCCTCAACTACTAGCCTCCTCTTTCCCTTTCGCTTGCTCTTTGTCCCTTTTCCTCTTCCCGTTCCCTGGCCCTTGTTCTTTCCCTTTCCGTTTCTCTTTCTCTTTTTTTCTCTCTCTCTCCCTCACACCCACCACGCCCTTTCTACACCCCTGACTGCAACTTCGAAGCCTTGCAAGCCCCCGAGCTCCTGAATTCTGGTGCCTAGCGGGTTCATCTCACTCTTGCGCAGCATGCTGGGTCGGAAGCCCTGACACAACACGGGCAAGCAAGAGACCCTCTGCTTCGCAAGACTACGGCATCCAGGCCGCAAACGTGGCTTTTGTTGCCGCCCTGGCAGCCACTTCACAAACCCCAACACAACAAAGAAGGCTATGCGAAGTGCCTCTGCGCCGACTGGGACAACTGAAACACATATTGAAACACGGCCATGAAGACATGGAACTTTCCAGTGCCAGACATGTGCGGATGGCAACCGGGCTACGTGCACCAAGACTGCCAGGCGTCATCGATCAAGCCACATCCCGCCTTGTCATACCGTGCGTGTCCGCCATTGACGACGTTGTAGCTGTAGCTGCCCTCACGACATCAGCTTCTTGGAGGTGAAGCCTAGCTCAATCATCTCAAAACATCTTGCCAAGCGGCCGTGGAAACATCTTGGCTTTCAATGCTTCTCCACTCCTTTCAACCGAGGAAAGCACACGACAGCAGCACCCTGCTTTGAGGTAGAATGGGTGGGCTTTGTTCAATGCTTCGTCATACAGGCAAGACCCTACTGTGCAGGCTCATAAACGGACACAATGGTCATCTGTGGCCCTTTCTGGCCCTCCAGGCCTTCCAGTGGCAGGTGTAGAGATAGAACTGCAAGGACACGAACATCACCAGCATGCCAAACCTCACGGCGTTGCCAACACCGAACCGGTTTACCGGTGCTGGTTTGTGACGCTTCCTCATGTTGGACAAGTAAGGCATGCATAGGCATGCTGCCCAGGACACATGAACAGCTGGAGCCCCGGGAACTCATACACAACCAGCAGGCCATGCTGGTCCTCCACAGGGCTTTGCAAGATCAGCACATCAGAAATCTTGCTTCGGGACCCCGAAGCACTTGACAAGCAGACCGGGCGCTTGGTCAAAAAAGCAAGAGCGCAACTTTGGCAAGGCATGCTCGGGGTCTCGCTGGATGCGTGCAGGGCTACACTTCGGACTTGGCTGCTAAACCCTCAACCCTAAACCCTAAACCTAAACCCTAAACCCTAAACCCTAAACCCTAAACCCGCTTCTGGGTTGTGTGCCTCCTGCCTCCGGGTCCCACCTCAGGTCCCGGAAGACTGCGTGGTTCTGCACGGCCCGCAGGGCGATGGCGAAGCCGTGGAAGAGGGCCCCCCAGGTGGCCAAATTCATTTCCAAGCGCCAGAGCCTCTCGACCCCAAACCCTAAACCCTAAACCCTAAACCCTAAACCCTAAACCCAGACGACTCCGCGCAATCATGCCAAGAATGCCTAGACGATTTCAACAAAACCAAAGAGCAAGAGTGTCAAAGACCAGGGCACCAGTTCCAGGTGCAAAGTACGGAGATCACCAGGAGGAGGACCCCGGACACGACCCACATCATGTCGTTGGTGGCCGAGCCTTCCCAAAGGCATCTTTCTGGGTTTAGGGTTTCGGGTTTAGGGTTTAGGGTTTAGGGTTCAGGGTTCAGGGTTCAGGGTTCAGGGTTCAGGGTTCAGGGTTTAGGGTTTAGGGTTTTTTTGGGTTTAGGGTTTAGGGTTTAGGGTTTAGGGTTTAAGTGCTAAGAATCTTTGGTTCAGGTGCAATCCACGGATAAACCAGCTAGGGTGGGAGCTGCTCGATGGGCCTGTGGCAAAGAGAATGCACGACATGGACGTCGCCAGGCCATACCTGGGCCCCAAGTTCACACAGTGTGCCGAAAAAGCCCTGCTGAGAGAAACACAAAACCTAAACCCAAACCCAGAAGAACCTAAGTGCCAAAACTCTTGTCTACCAAAGCCAACTCGCCAAGATGGAGGGCTCGCAAAAACCCTGAAACCCTGAAACCCAAAAACCCAAAAACCCAAAAACCCAAAAACCCAAAAACCCTAAAACCCTAAAACCCTAAAACCCTAAAACCCTCTCTCTCTAAAACCCTAAAACCCTGAAACCCTGAAACCCTAAAACCTGAAACCCTAAAACCCTACTGAAGGCCAAGGCGCACGATGGGCAAGGCCTTCCGCCGCAGTGGGGGCGCTTTTGCCTCCGGCGCCTCTTCCTCGGAGCCCTCGTCGGCCAAGAAGTGCGCGCCCTCCTTTTGCAATCAGGTGCAGAACCAAAAGGGGTTTGGGGTTTAGGGTTTAGGGTTTTTTTTTTTGGCACCCGACTAGCCACAGCAAAGCGGGGTTTATAGGTCGGTCTCGAAGAAAGGTAAAAAACTTCCCCTGGGATGTGGGATTACTATCCCTACCCGGAGGATTCTAGCCGTGAGGCTTAGGGTTTAGGGTTTAGGGTTTAGGGTGTAGGGTTTAACCAAACTAGTGACGCACCCTGAACTCTAGACTTCTGTTCGTTGTCCAGGCCTGAGCATGCAAACCTACAGATGGGCTCACACTTCAGTCAAGATTGTCAGGGGCTTGGCCCTTGTCGCCCCTCCTCGAGGCAGAGGAGTAGGGTTCCAAAAATGAGCCCGGTGATCCAAACGGTGGCATAAAGGATAAAGGGCGAGCGGTACCCGCCATCGCAGCCTGCGCGTCATTGGGGGCCAGGGTCTCTCAAGTTAAGCGGATGTCCGCTGCTATCAACAGCGACGCGGATTTCGAGAGTGTGACAAGAAGCCGAAAATGCGGAAGTACAGCGAAACCGGCACGTGCATTCAGCTTGGCATTCACAGTGGCAGCCAGCACCCTCCCGCCATTCCACCAACTAACGTCCAAACCGCAAAGATCCTCGCCCAAAACCTTAAGCAGAGTAATCGGGGCCTGAACCCCGAGCCCCTTGCCCAGGTTTTGTGCGATTGAAGGGAAGTACTTGCAGGGGGCGTGCTCACAGCTGTGTGAAGACGAACATGTCGGGAATAGCGGACATTGCCAGCTGCTAGCAGTCTGACCATCATCGCTCCAAACGTCGGTGCGCCCGTGCCTCCTAAAGCCTTGACCGTTTTTGGGAACTGTGCAGAGTATCAAAGTCAGGAATGATCAGGAATGTGATGTGGCAAATCTCCTGCCCGCTCCTTGACCCCTTGTGCACCCCCTATAAACCCTAAGCCCTACTGTCCAAGCAGCTACGAGCTCAATACACAATGTGGCTTCTTCCATTGCAAGCAAGCATGCAAGACCTTCTAATTCTCCTCCAAACCCCCAATACCCTAAACCCTAAATACCCTAAACCCTAAACCCTCAACCCTAAACCCTAAACCCAAACCCCGTAGCCCGGCAGCCTGGCCTGCAACTTGGCTGGCCAAGCCAAGGGTCACGTCCTCTCAAAAAACCGGAAAATGGGGATACAGGGCTTGCGTTTCTTAGCTTCCCTCGTATGCAATCTATACGGCCAGGGGAGTAGCTTAGGCTCTATTTGACGGATCCACTGCACCCTTTCAAACATCTGAAGGGTTTGAAGTTGCAAGGTTTGAAGGGTTTCAACAGGGCCTTGCCCTCATCCCGGGGTGGCGCTTGAAGTCTCGGGCACTGCCCAGCACACCCAAAAGACACTGCAATGCGCATCGTGCATCGTCTGCATCGTGTCCAGCAGTGGGCACCCGCCTTTTCGTGCCGGCGTGGGTGCGTGCTGGGGACGACCCTTTAACTTCCCTCAATTGTGCCTCTCGAATGCCGGACCAATTCTCCACTTTGCCTGCCCTGCCTAGTACCCTGCGGATCCGTGAAGTTGGCTGATGCGAAACTCTCGATCCGCCAAATCGTTGCTCTTCTTCGAGCGATACGGAAGAAGATGCTTCCCTCCTCCCCACCTCCCCACCTCCCACCTTAGGGGCCCAGACATAGGCATAAGCATTTTATAGGGATATCCCTACCTTATTGGGCTTCATTATCAGGGTGTTTATATGGAATATCCCTATCCTAATTTTTGCTTATGTGCGTTTTTGGGGCCCTACCACCTCCCCGCCTCCCCGCCTCCCCGCCTCCCCGCCTCCCCGCCTCTCCGCCTCCCCTCCTCCCCTCCTCCCCTCCTCCCCTCCTCCAAATGTGAATATCTGCAGCTCGGTATGGAGAACAAAGCGAAATTATGCTTTCAGGTTAAAGAAATCCGTCAAACAGAACGTAGAGGTCCTTGCCACATACATATATACATAAATGTATGTATATGCATATATGTATATATCTTGATGTTCTTATTTACTTATTTATACGCATGCTTCCATGTGTATATACATACATACATACATACATACATACATACATACATACATACATACATACATACATACATACATACATACATACATACATACATACATACATACATACATACATACATACATACATACATACATACATACATACATACATACATACATACATACATACATACATACATACATACATACATACATACATACATACACACACATATACAAGACATGTGTAGATATGTGTATATATATACATACATATATATATATACATATCAATACATGCTTCATAAGCGAGGGCTGTTCAGGCATTGAGGTGTTCTGAAGAGCTTTGCTGGTCGGAGCGGCGTCGTATGGCGTCGGCCCGGCCCAGTCGATCAGTGTGGCTGCAAGCCAAACCCTGAGGAGTGGCTAAAACCCTGAGGAGTGGCTAACATGGAGTGGCATAAGTGGGGTAGGTGACCCTATTTCGTGTGGCTGTTGCTACGTTCTCCGACCAGTCTACGTTGGCTTGAAGCCTCTGCGACAGTTGGGCCCCAACCACACACACACACACACACACAGGCGTACATCAGTTCTGTATTACCTTCTGACAGCAATGGCAGCAGGGCAATCTCCCGTATTCTGCATGTCCCGAGAGGAGGCCTGAGAAAAGCCACTCTTATCTTCATGCACCGGTTCAGGCCCCCGGACAAGGAACAGGTCTTGGGATAGATAGCGACAGTGTACTTCTCAAGGAAGGCTCTGAGCCCTTTGTTTTCTTCAGATGAACTGAGGCATCACCCCCAGCGAAAGGAATCCATAAAGTGCAACATCTGCCTTTTCTCAAAGACCCAGACTTTCTGGACTCTGTCTCCGCCCTCAAGGACCCGTAGGAATTCCGCAGGGTGAAAGACGGTAAAGACATTGAAACTTAAGCCTTTCAAAGCTTGTGGGCTGGGGGCAAGGGGGCAACTGCTACATTGGCTGCTAATTTCTTCAGCCCCCCCCCCCGCCCCGTCCCCCACCCCTCCAAAGAACTGCCAAGTCACAGGGCACAAGAACAGCTCTGGACAAGAGGTAGTGGCTGGCCCGTAAGGATGAATCTCTCCACCAGCCAGCAGGCCTCGTCTCTTTTTGGAGGGATTTGGGAATCATGGTGCCACATCGCACCAACCCACCCCCCTAAAAATCCACTTCCCATCCGTGTGACTGAAGACCCCAGGGCTTCTCTTCCGAGCAAAGCCACGAGAACCAGCGCGTTCTGCACAAAAGCTGCGGCTTTCCCCTCATCCTCTGCGGAAACCTGGCGCGTTTGGCTTGCGCAAGGGACTTCCGAGCATCTTCTTCTCGAGCCTTGCATGCCAAGGCCAAGCCCTAGTGACCGGCCCCCGTACCATAGGATGGAGCGATTTATGGCAGGTCCGAAGACTCAAGCTGTGGCGCACAAGGCACCCTCCTCCATTTCACCGGCACTCTGCATTCAGTGGAATGAATCTAAGGTGGCCTTTCGGCATGAGGTGACCTGCTTAGATTAGATTTCAGCGATGATCTCAATCAACTACTCTTGCAGCTGGGCTTCAGACTTGCAGGCTTTGGCCTATACAGCCCCGCACGAACAGCCCACAACGAAGCCCAACACATCAACTTTCTGCTCATGCGTACTTTGTGTTCACACCCACTTTACGCTCCGAGCGGCTCCCATCAGAAAAGGCAACTCCCCCAACACCATGCCACAGTATAGCAGAAGGGCGCCAAACGCGCCTTGCGTACTCCTGGGCAACTTGCAATGATCGATCGACTCTCATACATGCTTTGTGGATACCCTGTGAAGCCAGCTCGGGCCGGTCTAGCTGAGATGCATCTCTGACCGTCAATCATTCATGTGTTTGTCAACTTGCTAAACACGACACTGCCGAAGTTCAACTCTCTGGAACAACTACGAGGACTTCTTAGGCAGCACCAGCCACTCAGCAACTTCTGACAAGTGCCCTCAAACAACACCTTCACAATCGCACAGGACCTGACAGCCTACTTGGGATGTCCCCCAAATACTCACAGTCCTTATTCGGGATAATAATAGGGGGCACTATAATCCCCATTAAGGACTGCTAGTATAGGGGGGGACAATCATCCCAGCATCCTACTCCTACTGCCGAGAAGAAGAGAACACAGCAGCCGGGCAACGCGCAAAAGTCGTCATCAGCCTCAGTTGACCATCTGCCCTTTGCCAGGCGCGTTGCCAAGGACTCATGGAACCTTCAAAACAAGGGACTCGAGAAATTCAGAGGTCCAAACACAAAACCAACATCCACTCATCGGCGCCACCATGCAAACGTTGTCTTCGTCATCGAATTCTTCATCGGGCGTCTTTGGCCTCGTCTGTCCTTGGCTTCTTGACAAAGAAGCTGCCCTGTAACATTCGGACTAAGTGTTGACATCGAAGAGGATATTTGGACTGCAGCGGATGGCTCCGAGCTTGCTGAAATTTCGCTCGCGATATTTTGATGTCCTAGTGCGTCTTAGTTTCCCTTCACTTAGACTATGTCCACCATCTGTCTCTCCAAAACAGCTTGGGGACGTTGTGGCTGAATGGCGGATTGCTGAAGCTATACTTGCGGGGCCTGGGATTTGCATAACCAGAGTGGCTTGGGATGTTCCCCCTTTTTCTAAGAGTCCTCAATAGGGATTATAGTACCCCCTTATTATACTCCCGATTAGGGACTTGTAGCTTCAGGGAAAGCGGAGCACTCGTGGGGTGAGGCAAGCAAAGATTGGCAGCTCCTTGTCGAGAGTCTGTTCTGATGCCTCGATCTGCCCTGATACCCCTTCCCACTAGCCTGTGAACCGCAACCCCCGACGCGTAAAGACCCCCCGTATGGACCTCCTGGTGCCCTGAACCCGAAGCCTCGGATTTACACCCCACGGCAACCCTTGGCGTTGATGCCCATCGGCGAAGAAGTGACAGCCCACCAAGGGATGCAAGCCTGGGACAGCAAGAGAGCGTGAACATTTGGGATTCGAGCTTGGGGCAGAATAGGGTCCAGGATGTAGGAGCTCGGGTTGCTGGGCCCCTGTGCCCTTTCCACAGTCCTACGAGCACCGCTTTCCCTGAAGGGTTGGTAGCTCCTCCTCAGATTGGGATTCATGGTCTTAAGCCTGAATCCACGAAACCACACATCCGCGCGGCTAATGAAGCATGCAGCTTCGAGCACCATCCCTCTGCCGGCAACTGCGATCAAGATCCTAAACCCCTCGCCCAAACACAAAAAATGAACCCTTCATGTATCCAACCATACCACCCTAAACCCCAGCCTCTTACCCCCCGAAAATCCCCAGAAGAAACCCCCAAATCCCCCTGAACATGTCGGTTCGGCCAAGCAGCAGGGACACCGCGGATCCAGCAACCACAGCCCCCCGCGGGACACCCGGAAGGCCATAGAGTGGCATGCGGTGAGGGCACGCGGTATGTCGGAGGGCGGCTGGGGGGGACCTAGGGGTGGGGGCTTAGGGGGCTTGAAGACGCGTTAATACACTTTGGGCTTCTTTGAAGGCTTGCCGTTTGAGGGTGCAGAGATTGTGGACTTCGAGCTTCCAGGAGTCCAAAGCCACGCAGAAGTGTGCCACCTTGCTTTGGTACATGAGAAGTCAGTCCAGGAAGGCAGTGCAGAGAAGTGCTGATAGCAAAACAGGGTGCTCCCTTGACGTACCTGCTGGCGGTGGTTGCTTAGACGTCGTGTTGCATGTGTTCTGCCTTGACTCATCATTTGGGCCTGCGGAACATTCAATTAGTTGGCGGAACCAATCAGCATGTGTTCATGTGCTCCCTTAGACCTCGCACTCGCGTGCAGCAGGCAGGCCAAAGCTGCCCGGCGGTGTTTTTGTGCTGTTTTGGGTTTAGGAGGCTTAGGAAGTTCAGGGCTCAGGGTGAATAGTCTAGAGCGCATGAAACTGGGAAGGTCAGGGTCCTCACCATGGAACCTCCTCAGCACGCCAGTCGAAGAAGCGGCCTGTGTGGGCCATTGTGCGCGAGGCGATGATGGCCAGGTGGTTCTCAGCCTCATGGAAACTGGAAAGCAGCTGCATACAGACATGTCATGCGGCTCCGGCCACCGGCCACTGAGACACAACGTCAACTGCAATGGTTTTCGCAACTGCGCAATGTCTCATTGTCGTGCCCTAGTATGTGCGGCCCAAACAAAAACATCCACTGTGACAACCCTTGCAGAAAGGATGTAAAACTTTCGGGGTATACTGGGAGGCCTCCAGACAAATACCATTGTCCTTCGGGTCACTAGGTGATTCCAAGCATCGAGATATCCTGCACATCGAAAGTGCCATGCTCTAAGAAATAATTATATGGCATTTTCGAATTGTGGATCTGGCTGGCTCTGTGACAACCTTTCGGGGTGTACCGTTTCGTGCCGCCTCCTGCAACGAGGCGCTCTACGGCCACGTTCCCCAACGTCAACACAAACCCCCAAAGCTGCAATCTGTTGGGTGCCAAGGTCTCGGCGGCTTCGTCCACATCCTGCCTGGGGTCCACATGTTTGGAATACAGGACAGCTTCGCTTTCGAAGGACGGCATGCTAAAGCAAAGAGGCTGACAATGGGCTCCGTTCCATCAGCACTCACGGCACGGCAATATGCTTAACATAGGCAATGATAGCGCTGGCCTGAAAATTTCAGACAAGGTGAAGATGCAACATGGGGAACTGCCTGCGACCCACGCATGCATTGGATAGGAACCCTGAAGGCAAAAAATTGTGATACCTCACTTGGCGGCCAGGTTGCACAACATACTTCGACCGTGCACGCGAAAAGGCACGCGTGAGGTCCGTGTCCACGGTGCCCGGATGCAAGGCAAAGCAGCAGACGCGGTGTCGAGCTAGCTCGACGGAAGCAGTCCGCACCACCTCGGGTTTGGAGCCGACCAAAAAAGCCAAGATGTTCTGTCTCTCTGATTCCCCTGAAAGCAAATGGTTGGAAACCCAGACCGCCTGGTTCAGGGCCGCCTTGCTGCTGCGGTAGGAGTACCATCCACCTGACAAGGGCCAGGAAGTTTCGGGACGTTTAGGGCATGGACATGCTTCATGTTCTGGGTGCTTCTTTGGGTGCAGCTCCCACCTGTGGCATTGTCCCCAATGGAGCCCACACGAGCACTGTAGAAGACGGCAGTTGCCTTGGGTGCCTGAGATGTCTCACCACTCGCTGCGGTTTCGGTGTCCGAAGCCTTCAGGAGCGGGGCGAAGTGCTTCAAGACCATCAGGGGCCCCACAACATTCCTCGGCTATGCCGAAAATGTCGGAAAGATAATGAAAACAATGGCCCGAACAAAAAACCTACACACTACAAGTCTGTTCACATGAGTGTGCCAAGACACACTGCAAGGGAGTAGGCCATAGCCTCTGGGTCCACGCGCTGCAGGCTGTTCTCTGGGATCACACCCCGGGATTTGTCCTGCCTCGGAATCCGAACAGCCTGGCTCAACACTAGGCGAGAAGGCAAGGACGGCAACAACCAAAACCTACCCTACCACCACGAATTTCTCCTCACCGAAGCCGAAACCGAAGCCTTCCAGTGCAAAAGCCCCTGAAGCTTGAAGTCCTCAAGTCCTCCGACCCTCATTGCCCCCAGCCACAACAGTCCGGCAGTGTGGCACATCAGTTCCAACCTAGTTCGGATCAAGGATTTGAGGACCTTGAGTGAGGGCCTATTGGTCGAGACTTCGGGGGTTTGGGTTTGCGCGCCTGTAGCATCGAGGTGGTTTTGGGATGTTTTGGGGTTGTGGCTTTTCAAGTATGAGTTTGGAGGGTCTTTCGGGTTGACGTTGCTATTTCGAGAGGAAAGGGGCTGGTGCCTCAAAATTATCTCAAAACAAGGCGACGACGACAGCAACAAAATTCACAGCAGCTACGAGGATGGTGACCCCTTCATCAACCCATCTTCGTGACTGTCAGCACAAGGGCCTTCGAGGGTTAACAAAAAAGCTCAAGGACAAACCCAGCAACCTCCAAAAGTGACGACATCGCGAGTTTGGTCACGAATGAACGCTCGTGGACGCTTGGTGCACGCTTGCGGAGGTACCGCCTCCCTACCCCTGACCACTTACAACCGCGACCGAATCAAAAACACAAAAACACGAGGCCTCGTCTCTAGCAGCCACCGCAGCAAAACAACCGCAAGCACCACAGCCACAACCAAAACCAACACACAACACGACAACAACCACGACCCAAGCACGAACACAACTGCAAACACGCCAAGCACAAGATGACACAGAAACCCTAAACCCTAAACCCTAAACCCTAAACCCTAAACCCTAAACCCTAAACCCTAAACCCTAAACCCAACCAACAAAACATCACCACACACTCGCCATAGGCCGCAGGAGCGGCCCGGCGGCGCGGCCCGGCGATGTCAGCGCACCTGCGGCACGCTGCGCGGCAGCGGCCACGCTGCGGGCATCCTTAGAAGTGGCATAGGGTTTAGGGTTTAGGGTTTAGGGTTTAGGGTTTAGGGTTTAGGGTTTAGGGTTTAGGGTTTCGGATGCAGGGGGCCTTGGGAAAGCTCTGAGGCAGACAAAGTGCAGTTTTCGGGCGGCCATGACAGAATCCCTTTCCGAGTCTCAGGGCACAGAATGCAGCCCTAGATTTGTGGGGGGGGGTTAGCTTCGTGTCGTTGCGAGGCCTTCAACCCGAAGATTTCTTAGGCCGGCACAAGTAACCGCTAGCATTGGCTGTGAACCCCGTTCACTTTTTCCATTTTCGAGGCATCACGAAAACCGAAGTTGGCTGCAGCGGCCTCAGGCGTTGTTTTGCAACAATGGCTCCCGCAGGCCGTCTGGCTCCTCTTGCGAAACTCTCCGCGGCTCAGGGGTTGGCTTGGTTGGCTTCAGATGGCTTCAGCTTCGCACAGGGTTTGCGTCGCTACGAGCAGCATAGCCACCTCCGAAGAGATCAAAAAGCAAAACAACTGAAAACCCCGACTTTCGCTGGGCCTGCTTGAGGACTATGCGCTTGAGGTTCGCGGAGAGGAAGGGGCCCCCAGCGATGAAGGCTATCCACGCTGCGAAGCCGGCCAGCCGCACGAACACGGGGAGGTCCCCAAGATCCTGCTGAGCTTCGTCGCCCTCGCACAGCTTAGGGCTGTTGTTTCATGGCCAAGTACAGCGCAATACTTGCCTGAAAGGTCTAGGTGTTGTGAGCCTTCGTCTTTAGGGCCTGGGGGGGTTGAGGAAGCAGCCCTCAACACATAAGGTGGATGCTGCACCCGATAAGAACAACACGAGACTACTGCGGAGATCAAACGGGAAGAATGAGCCGAAGCCTCAACCGACACCACAGGCCGACACGAAGATGCGGACGAGGGGTTTTGCAAGGCCAGGTGTGAGTTCGCGGGAGCAAGTATGTGCATTAGAACCGCGCGGGGCCGAAGGATCTACTGGAACTCAACGCAACAAAGACTGCGATTTCTTCCCAAACGATGTGCAGATCCCATGAGGCCTAGTGACGCACGTGCACGCGCACATGCACTCGCCTGCTCGCTCCCGCATACACACTCAGGCACACACCCTGAACCCCAAGGCCTGAACACAACATCCCAGCAAAGCTTGGGCAAAAGACGCTTAAACTCGCGGCACTCTCGCGGCCGCATGGCATCCGTCTCCAGGTCCTGGACATGCGCGCCATTGACGTAGGCGTCGACGGCATCTGCCCACGTCGTCCTTCAAACGACACTCGTGCGTAAAAGAGATGACTTCGACAGCCTCGGACAGTCCGCGCACGCCTGGCTACACGAGATCCAGGGTCATCGTTATCGTTGCCGACTTCATGTTGTCAGAAGTCGTGAAAAGTGCGGTAGGCATGCTAACTTCCTCATGCTGTAAGTTGTGGATAAGCCCTACAAGGCTCAACGGTTGTGCGTTGCGGCCGATGAAAAGTGTGGACGATTCCAAAAAAAACGATGCTTTTGCATGCTTTTGCATGTCTATGCTCTCCACACATGGGGTCGGAATCGATGTGATTTGCGCGTCTCGTTCAGGATCTCTCAAGCTTGCATTGGACAGAAATCGCGTGCCAAAAAGTAAAGTCCACATGTTGCAAACTGGGAAGCCCCATATCCGAAAAACCCCTAACTGCATAAAAACCGCAAGCCCAAGGTGCGGGAAGGCCAGGCTCGACAGTATCTCCGCCAGGAAGAAGACGAAGCTGCTAGAGAGGAGCAGGCCACCAGCGGCGTAACCCAGCACCTCGGTCGGCAGAGCGATACAAGGTGACTGAAACGAACACACATGCAAGAAGCTTGTCTCGACAACACCAGAAAAACCAGGTTGTAAGGAGTGACAACGAAAGATAAGGTGAAGAAGCACCAGCACCAAACAAAACAAAACTTGAAATATGTACTTCTCCAAAACAGAAAAGAAAAAATGCTAAAACCAAGAAAAGTGTTCAACACAAAGCTGTCAATGCCACGCCATGCATTTGTTTGCAAAGCTAGAGGTGCAAATGTTCTCCTGCCGCAAGTACAGTTCACGCCAAAGCGAAGAATGCTAGCAGACCGAAAATAGCAATAACAATAAGCACACTAGTCTTGCTGAGCGTAATGGCCACACATCGGGAATCGATATTGGTGAAAGGCTGACAGCATTACGATCAGAGACTAAACTACAGTAGGTTAAGGAATATACCAGAACAGAAAATTGCAAGGGGACGCCCTGGCGACACCCACGTGTCCTAAAGACATTTGCGTATACTAGAGAGCTGCAGTGTGACGCCCTGATGAGACGCCTTTTGCTTGCGCGAGACGCCTTAGGTTTACCATCCTGTAACACACTGGGCGACCATGGGTTTTCTACCCGCTTGATGGAAGGGTACATGTGTTGGCATTGTACAAAGACGAAGTACACCATTGTCAGGGGTTCCAAACAGCCTGCACTATCCTACATGGCAGGCACAACTAGTCATACTACAGCCAATTTATCACCCAAGCAGACTGCCAAAGACACTCCGACCACACGTAAGATGCATCATAGACAATATGAACTAGACTTCCTAGACCTATGCAACCCAGAATGCATGCATTGTCCGATTCACCGAAGACTATTGCTTAGTAACCATGCGACAAGACGGATGACACAACGAGCATGGCCGAGCCCAATCACTCGAAAACAGGGTTTAGGGTTTAGGGTTTAGGGTTTTGGGTTTAGGGTTTTGGGCACGAACCCTCACCCTGCCCAAGACGCCTCGCTCGCACGCTTGCCCCCGAAGCCGGTGGCGACCACGCCCAGGGCGAGGAAAAGAAGGTACCAGAACCTTGCTGCGAGGCTAAAATCGCACAAGGGCCGGCTGCGAGGACTCTGAACTGCGAGATCCTCCTGAGGCCACCGTCCTGAACCTCAAGCTGCGAAGCCTGCGAATCCTGGGAGCCAACTCTCGTTTCCATCACCCCTTGCTCTTGGAACCCCCCAACTGCAGCCAAGAGTCGAGACCTGCGCCGGGACCCACTTCTCGGCCCAGGCGACCGAGAGCTGCGCGGCAAGGAGGCCCAGAACAGCCCCAAGGACCTGCAGTCCGACAGCGTTTCACACCCGGTTCCTTTCACCTTGTACTTTGCCAGCATGGTCCCCACAGATGTCCTGGCTGTTCCACTACCATCCTGCAGCTGCTCCTTGCAACTGTTTCAAAATCCGCGGCAACGTCGCGGTCTAAACTTCTGGCCCCAAAGGCATTTACATCACCTGATCACGTGCAAAAGGGCCTTGTAACTTGCAACACCCAAAAGGGCTCCACGTACCGACCTTTCACTGTCGTACCGCAGAAGCGAAGGCAAAGGACCCCTGCTGCCCAGAGGCAAGTTGGAAGCCGGCGTAGCCCACCACGGCAGCTGCAGCGGTCAGGAGAGCGGCCTTGCGGAGCTTCTCTTCAGGGGTACCTTATTGGGGTTCAAGCAAGGTTGGACAAAACCCCCCATGAAGGTTCAGGGTGTGTGAAGTCTCGGCCGAAGTGGGGCGTAAGACGCTTTTGTGGGACACACTGCTTACGGCTGTCATGGCCTCCCCTCCAACAAGCACGGAGAGCAGCAGGGACTCACCACCTCTGCTGGCTTGCGGTTTGGGCTTGGGAGGGTTGAGGCTCAAGGGTTTCTCCGCCCTGCTCTACTTGTTCCGGCAGCGCCACAAGGCCGATCGTCGACAACCCTACAATGCGTGGGAGGCGCCCCAGCCCTGGAAGAACTTCTGCCCAGCAGTCATGCCCACGCCCAGCGCGACCAGCACCAAGCTGGCCGCGAGGATGAATAGCTCGCTGTCCAAGCAACTCCTGGCAAAGAGCTTGCTGGCTTTTAAGCCAACACCAGCCAAACCCCGAACCACAACTTGAGGACTGTAGAGACGTAAAACTTGGGATGTTCCCCCTTGTACTGACAGTCCTTAATAGGGATTATAAGTACCCCCTGTTATAATCCTGTTAAGGACTGTTTGCAGAAGGGGGAACATCCCAACGTAGAACTGAAGAAGAACCCCCAACAAAGCCACAGGCACACTGCACCCAGCAGCGCGGCCAGGAGCGCCACGAGGTTCTGGCAGGGAAGGCCCTGGAGCCAGCTGAGGAAGAGGCCGATGCCACTCTGCACCCAGGCCTTTCCAACAAGGGTAACCGAACACAACCGAACAATAACGAACACAACCCTCTCTCATTCCAGACTTCACCTCCCCGGACACGGCTCGAACTGCTCACGGCTTGACCCAGATGGCACCTTCTTTCTTTCTTTCTTTCTTGGGGGCATCCTTCTCTCTCTCTTTCTCTCTTTCTGACGCTCTCTCGGTCTGTCCCCTCTCCCCTTCCACCTCACCTTTCATATGAAGCTCTCAAAGAAACTTCCCGAACCCTTGCACACCCGTTCCACAACATAAATCCTCAGCACCAAACTCTATACTAACCCAAGCAAAGCCTTGTACAACCTCTGGGGTCGGGCTTTCCGACTATACAAAACTGCAACGAGGGGATCGCCCAACAACACATACAGCTTCATGTAATTCAGAAAACCGTTGTACCTGCAACATTCTGTAACACAGGCCTGGCGCTCGGGCAGGACTTTGTCGGCCTTGCTCCTCAGGGCCTTGGCTTCGGCCTCGGCCTCCTCGGCCTCGGCCTCCGCCGCGCGCACGCGGCGCGCCAGCTTCTTGCTCTTGTCTTGGGTCTCGGCCAGCTGGCCCTGCGTGCTCTTCAACTGGGCCCGGAGGTCCTGGAGCTGCTTCTGGGACTCGGCTGTGGAGTCCTTGGCCGCCGCATATCTGACCTTGCAGTCCGCTGCCTTCTGTTGGCTCTGGTTCAGCAGTTGGGCCTGCGCACTGTGGTTCCGAATAGCATTCTCGATCACGAAGTCCGCTACCATGACACGCTGCAGCTGTTGCTGGATCTCCTTCTGAAGGTGATGGAGAGAATGCCCGGAGCCGGCTTCATCGGCATAAGCTCCCACCACAAGGGCCAGGACCGCGGCTCGCCGCCATGCCGTCTTCTGTTGACCCATCGTCGAACCGTGGCAGGGATCATTTGAGCACCGTGCTGCAGGCGAGCAGTGGGGAGGATTCATTGCCCCGTCAGACTACAGTGACAACAGCCATGCTGAAACCTCTTCAACACCAACGCCCTCGCAGATGACCTGCAGAGCCAACTTCTTCTCTACATTTCCATGCTTGCACTGCCGCAATGCAGCCACAAAACAAGAAACTCGGCAGCTGATGGCTGCCGCATTGGATATCACTTCAAGCCTAGGTGCCGACAAGGCTCAGTCACATCCATCTGAACCACAGTAACGGAGTGCGGGAATGTCCTCGCCACTTGGAGGTCCAAAAAGAAAACCCTACCCCGAAGAGACCCACCAGGCCTCAAAAGCCAATGGGGCTCGGGATACCGGAGTTGTTTACATGCAGCTCCTCTCCATGAAGACAGGTGGGTGGAGGGCAGCCGGCCAAGCAACTCCAAAACTACATCTACATCTGCATGTATGTGCGCAAGTGTATCATATCAAAGCTGGCTCTTCCCCGGCCTCTCCAGTTCCCTGAGGGCCGCAGTCACCGTGCGCGCGGCACAGACCACTGCATCGCCACGGCGGGCCTTGGGTTTAGCACACTTTCGTCAAGCCCAGCAAGGCAGAGTGTTAGGCACAATTGTTCATGCGAACAGCGCGAAATTTTGCCACCACGAAGCTTTGGCTCAGCTTTTTGGACCGTGCTGCAAAGATGGAACTTGGCGTTTGAGCTTCTGGAAGCGCTGTAAGAGGTGGACTTCGAACTCAGAAGTTTGGGGCTTTCCACATGCTGTCCTTGCGACGTGGGTGTGCGCACACAAGGTGCAGATACTGGCGATTTTTCGGGGCACCATCCTCCGATCCTCCCCCTTTTTTTGCATCTGGACTGCGGGAGCCAATCAGCCAGATTCCTTTCCTCCCCCAAAGCCTGACGCCCCTCAGAATCCGCCGCGAAGCCTCGAGCCGTCGGAGTTCTGGTCGTGTCCCAGCACCTAATCCTCTTCCCGAGCCATTCCCTTATTTTGTGTCTTTGGCCCGGTAAGCGTCGGCAGTTGGGGTCAACATGGCGGACAACATGGCGGACATAGACCCCTTCTGGACCCTTTACAGGCGCCCTTATCAACCCCTACGGAATGTAAACCTCTACGGGGCTCCTTATGACACGCTATGCTGTCTTGCTTCTTCCTACCTTCTCGCACACGTGCCTCAAGATTGCAACTCTTCCTTTCTTCTTCCCCCACTATCTCCACTATCTCCATGTGACGTTGCCGGCCGAAACAACTTCGGCATTGGTAAGGGGAGACTTCGTGGCCAAGGCCGAGCCCGCGCAGCATGAAAAATAGCTATTCTGAGGCCATCTGCAATGAATCAAAACCCAAAACAATCGCCCCTGTCACAGCCCGAGCGCAAGGTGCTGGGCCAGAGCTAGGCCCAGGCCGCGCGAGGCACCGACCACGCAAGCACGGCGCATGGCTGTGGGCTGGCTCTGGGGTTGCAGCTCTAATTAGCGCCTCTAGAGCCTCCAGGGTCCAGGGTTTGGGCCTGATAAGTTGTAGGGTACCGCGTACGGCGCTCAGAATTTCAGTGCGAGTTCTTGGGAGATGTTGAGGGCCTTTCGGTTCCTAGCCTTTTGGGGGATTCCGTGGGGCTACAACATCTGAATCTGCTATCCGTCTATGCCTTTTTGGTCATGTTGCCGAACTGTTGTGGTTGCAGGGATGCGAAGAAAACAAGAGTTTCGGCTCAAGGCTCCTCACAAGTTGCACCGGCTGTGCTACTCGGGACTACAGCATCGACCATCAAACGATTCATGTCTTGCCCATGCTGGCATGCGACGACATGCACTTCAAGATACTTAAGATCACACGGATTCTTGTAACTTGCAAAAGTCTGGTATAAGTCCTAGCGATTAACACTGCAGCTATCCAAAAATCGTCCCACCTCAACAGCTGACCTGACCATGGGGCTTGCACTCAAACTTGTCGACGGCAGGGATGATAACAATTTTGGCACGCACCTGGCACGAATGCCAGTGGGTCACCAGGATCAATTAAGCTTCTTTACCTTCTATCCGGCAGTGCACCAGCAGCAGGACGTGCAGACTACAAGCGGCAATGCAGCAATGCCGTTCATTATCCTGCACCATCGTGCACTCGCCCGGGGGTTACACCTGAGCTGTGCAACCCAGGGCCTGGGCCACATGATCTTCAGCATGCTTGTCGGCGCGTTCCTTCAGCTTCTGGATGGCCGCCTGACGACACAGAGATACACTTCAGAAACCACACTTCTCGAATCCCTGATTCTGTCAATCCCTTAGCCAAAGAAAGCTCCACTTGAAGCATGCAATTCTCAGACGTGGCCACAATACCAACAAGCTGGCCAAGCAAAGCAGTCGATTATGTTGTTTATGTCTCATCGTATCACTATCTCGTTAGAAAATAAAATACCGCGATAACAATCTATGACTAAATTAGTATATCATGATCTTCGCATATGATGATATCCGTATACCATTCTCTCGTTATATCCATGTATCCTTATATCATTGTATAAGTATATCATTATATCATTGTATCATTATATCATTATATCATTATATCATTATATCATTATATCATTATACCATTATATCATTATATCATCATATCATTATACCATTCCTTCATTATATCATTATATCATTGAATCGTTATATCAATATATCATTACATCGTTATGTCAGTATATCATTATATCATTATATCATTATATGATTATATCATTATATCAGTATATCATTGTATCATTGTATCATTGTATCATTGTATCATTCTATCACTAGAAAAACAAACCATTATATCACTATATCACTATGTCACTATATCATTAGGTCATTACATCATTACATCACTAGATAAGTATCTCATTGTCTCACTATATCACTGGATAAGTATCTCCTTGTCTCATTGTAGAATTAGATCATTATGTGATAATATCATTAGATCAGTATATCATCATACCATTGACTAGCACGATCTGTCGCCAGATGCTTGTCCTCCACGGCCACATCTACCTGCTGAATCTGCTCGTCCCCGCGGATGACGGGCGGAAGCCCATCCTTTTGTTACGGTTTTCCAGGACCCACAAGAAGCGTGTGGAGCACAGGAAGCAGCAGACGGTTTTCATTTGCTTCGGAGTTCTGCGGCCATGCATGCCCCCTTGCAACGAGGACAGTCTTGCTCGAGGCATTACAGTAGCAGCACGCTAAGTGCACACACGTAGCCTGAAAAGCGTAGAGTTGAGCTGTGTTCTTCCGGGGTACTGATGCAGGACATGGGTGTCAGCTTGAAAATTGTGTACCAAATGGCCAGAAAACATACAGACCTTTAAGCCTAAAGCCTACGTCCTCAGTCCTGTAGTTTGTCCCTAAATCTCAAACTCCCTTTTGCAATTCCTTTGTTTGACAGCACATGGCCCCCGGCGGGTTGATGGGCCATCCGCAGCAGCCACCAGAGGTCCCTCTCCATGTCCTGGCAGCATTCCCCGGTATCTTCCCGCTTCGGGTCCTCAGGCATGCATGGGTCGAAAGATTTGGGATCCCAGGATGAATGCTTCTCCCCTTAAAGCCTCGGGTTTGTGAACTCATGGGTTATTCCGAGGTGGGCTGCGTCCATATGGATTACAGGTACTTCTTTTCATTCGGCCCCAGCACTGAGAATACCACGTGAGAGTCGAGGAGAACTGGCAGGGGGAAGAGCAGTCAACCCTAAACTCCCAAGCCCGAAGGCAGGATCCCGTGCGAACCTTTCGATACTCGAGCTGACGAACTGCCTGTCCTACTTAAACTTGACAAAACCACGGCACGATGGCCTCCATGAAAAAGGCGATCTCCTCAAGGAAAAGCCCAACCTTGCAGAAACTCACCGAGCCAGAACGCACACAACGGAATAAGCTACGGCATGCTAATACAGCTACAGGAAAGCCTCGTGCGGGGGCCACGTGGCGTGAGAGAGAGCTCAAACACCCACAGTACGTGTGGAGTGGGACATCGTGCTCAAGCAAAGACTGCCGAAAGTTGACTCGAGCCACTGCACTCCCTAAATTTCAGTTACTGGTCGGGAGGCGGGAGGCATGTTGCCTTTGGGGCTCTGAGGTCCGTGCAGTCACCTCCTTGAGGACTGGCCTGCATCTTCCAGCAACGTTGGTGTTTCCCCGTTTCAGTGTTGTTGGATTTGATATCGCATCGAGGAGCATAGTCAGGCTTGACTAATTCCATGGTTTCGGCTCTCGCACTCGCCCAGCAGCTGTATGGCTTGGGGGCCTACACTCACCTTATGGTGACTATTCCCTTCAAGCATTCCCCCAGCTCACCGACAACCCCAAATCCAATCATCTGATCGTGGCGAACGATAACCCTAAAATACCCCAGCATGTCCTAGCATTCGCCCTTCAACTACCGGAACATCTCCCATTCATATGCCCATCTCTCTCTTTCACTAAGAACATGAAGTATTCTTTCCCGCGACTGTCAAGGCTATGAGATGAAAGTGCAGGGGCGAGACGTCTCGCCCTTTCGCTGGGGCGCCAGCTTGTCCACGGCCTTGGGCACAAGAGAGTTGCTTGAGAGACTTGGGGCACGGGCGAGGGTCGAGGGGCAGCGTAAGCTGTCCTCCTAACAGCTTGAACAAGAATGGGAGGTATCGCCCAGGCCCCTGCTCCTCCCTTTCCCTTTTTCACAAGGGACTCGACTGCTGCCCTTGCTCCACCCTTTCCCTGAAACCCCGAAACTCCTCATCCGGTCACATCGCGCCTCTGGCACCGCCTCCTCCGTCTGGGCGGCCTCTGCCACTTTCGCCATGGCAGTGGGGTCGAACCTCGGTGGAACAGAAGCCAAGGAGGGGAACTCAGGAATTAGACTCGACCACAAGAGAAAGAGCCAACTGCAGGTTTAAGGCTTCGGTTCGGGACCCGAGTCCAATTTTCCGAGCCCTGCCACTCACATGTCCGCCGGCGATCTAGTGCAGCATCCATGCAAATACATGCCATGCTCACTTGAAGCGTCTGGGCCGTCACAGGCCAGCCACTGCCCGAGGCTGTCACTCCGGCGCATTGGCGTTCAAACCATTACTCCTCAAGTGTGTCGGATGTATATTAGGAGGATCGAAGCGTTCGCTGTCTAGGGGGTCTTGACGCAGTGCCTCACGGAGACTGCAGTTGATTGGGTTGAGGTGCGCACGCTCGGTCTGAGATGTTTTTACTTGAAGGCCAACCCGAGATCTCAACCGGAGCTAAATTCTACGCAGTGTGGCTGTGCTCCCCAACGTGGTTGTTCTGCTTGCAGAATCTTTCGCACAAGAAGTCTGCGAGTAGCTGCATGTAAGCTTGCACCTTACACACGGCCTTCACAACAAGCCGCGTACCCAAGATTCGCCGCCACCCAAAACAGACCCCTCTCCATCTGATCTCTTGCGCCCTGCCGCATGAAACCGTTGAAAAGCCGGGACACGGCGCTGTCTGGCCCAGCCCCTGGTATGCCTGCGCCATCTGTGGCGACCTGAAGAACTGCCCAAACATCCACTAATGCAGGGCAGGCTTGGGGGCATCGAAGCTTGCCTTGTTGCGCTGCTGAAATTGGGTGCCTGGGAGCCTCGAAGACCGAGAGCCTGGCATGCCACCCATCTGCTGCTGCATGGCCATCTGCTGCATCATTGCCATCCTGAGCTGACCCCTACACGTCACTACGCGCCACTACACATCACTCCCCTCGACTTGCACCTTCTCTCTCCCCTTGCTTACCCCCCCCCCCCCCCCCCCGCGTGCTGATTCTCCTCAAGGGGCTCTCGAAGCTGAAGCAGCGCTGAAACATTGAAACTACCGGAGAAAACGCAGGCAGCAGGATGTGCTGGGCAGGTGGGGCAGGGTAGCATTGCACAGGCTGTAGCTGGCGGGGAAAGGCGAGTGTGGTATGGCAGCGTAGGATGGGTAAGTGTACCAGTGTAGCGCACCCAGGGTCTGTTTAGCGTTTTGGGGTGGGGCTTAGAAGCTAGGAATACCGGCTGCTGCCCAGATGCTGCAGTTGCATTTGCTGCCGCATCTGCTGTGATGTCCTTGGGAACAGCCGCATCTTCATCTCGCTACAAACCCCCAATCTTGCCGTTGAGCCTTGTGGGAATCTTCAGAGCTTGAGCTTTCAACTTGAAGAGCAGAATGGGGCCCCCACGGTTGCCCTTGATAGCCTTGCCCCTGCATCTGAGGGTTCCTGGGCCAGTTTGAGTCATGGTTGAACATAGCTAAAGATGGGATGCACCTACCACATGACACTGCCACTCAAGTATGGAAAAGCGAAGGAACGCATGATGTGGATGTCAATGTGAGAAAGAAGAGAAACCGAAATAAACTTGAAGATATGACTGCATAATTCATACCTGTTCTCGGTGTATCGGCGTGTCGGCGTATCGGTGTATCGGTGTATCGGTGTATTGCCGCAGTTTTACGCCGATGGCCCCCACCCCGGATCGGGGTGGACCCCCTGATCGGTGTATCGGTGTATCGGTGTATCGGTGCATTTACGTTTTCCTGCCCCCTTCCGCGGGCGCACTGAAAATCTGTTCGCTGAAATTTCTGGTGACGCCAGGAAGAAATGCTGTTTATTACTCTGCATGATACACAGTACAGGGTCCACCAAAGGTTGCCAACAATCATTGCTCCCAGCCTGTGACCTTGAAGCTTCCTATAACAAGTACTGCTTCAGTTTGTTGATATGTCTGATGTTTCTGAACGCACAGAATTCATAGCTGGGAGGGTGGGATATTCCGTTTGAAGGCTTTGCGAAGTTGAAAAAGAAATGAGCGTCGGATGGGGGGTTCAGTTGACCTCTGCAGCGCCAAGCTCTTGTCCAGACCCCGGACGTTCCATGAGGTGTGGTGCTCCTGCCGCGTTTGTTTTGCTGAGCTAATGTAGGCGTCCTTGGCTGTCGACTCTACGGCCAAGTTGTTGCCTGCCCTAGCATTTCCGGAAAAAACGGCGTGGCCTTTGTGGTCCTATGATGGGCGATGTGCGGGGTGAAGTGGTAATCAAAGCAAAAGGGGGGGGGTCAAACTGCAGATGCAGCCCATGTACAATGCTTTAGCCAACTGTACCGTTGCGTTTCAATTCAGAACCGGTGCGTGCAGAGTAGCTAAGCCATGGCTAGTTCAACAAGAATGTCGCATGACGACTACGACATACTACGATGAGCCAATGCTACAGACTAGGCTCCAAACTACTCCGTCCAGAAAGACTATGCAATTTACACTGCGACGGCTTGAATGGGCGTGGCAGGCACCACTCTGGCTCAAGACCGGTGGTCAACAAGGCGGCGGCATGCCGCCCATTTGTTGCTGCATGGCCATCTGCTGCATCATTGCCATCCTCAGGAAGGCTTCGGCTGAAAGCTTCCTTTTGCAAGCATTGCACACGAGCACGCCTACTGCCATGAGGTCCCTGAATTCATCGTGGACCGGCTCTGGGGTTGGGGGTTGGTCGCCCAAGTCTCTGTTGCAGCTGCTGCATCTGCTCCATCTGCTGCGATGACATGATGACCTCTGGCGCGGAAAAGGCGACCCTCGATCTACATGACTTCACATGCATGTACACTTTTGTACCACATGTCGTACACCACATCCAACCCCGCTGAAGCACACTTTTGTCACTGCTTGAGTCGGAGCTCAAGCTGGCGAAAGCTATTGGAGTGCTACAAGGAGCCTTGCAGCAGAGCTGCAGCAGTGGCACAGCGGTGCTACATCGGTGCTACGATTGCTGTGACGCCTACTTCACAGCCGGTCTCGCGTTCTGCGCTTCCAAAACTTCCATCCTGCTCCTGCACGACGCCAAATGCACAGAGTGCTCCTCAAGCTTTGCCACCACATCTAGCATTTCTTTGTGCAGCCTCTGGTTAGTAGCTTGCAGCTGTTGCAGCTGGGGTCTTAGCTGAGAATCCTCTGCCGGTGGAGCGCTCTCCAAGGTGTTGGTACGACCTGGCCGATCTACATGCTCCAACTGCGACATGCGGCTTGCCAAATCGAGCACCAACTCCTGCATCTGGGCATCATGGCCGGACAAGTTCGGAAGGGGCCCCTCCTCCTCAGAGGCAGCCAGTTTGGTCAACAGGGCCTGATGCTTTGCCAGGCTCTTGAGCGTGTTCATTCCGTTTTCGAGCTCATCTTCCAGGGCGCCCACTTTGCTCTGATACACCTGCACACTGGCCTGGACTGCATCAAGCTGGCTCGAAAGCCGCTCCTCCACGCAGCTTAACTGTCGTGCCTGTGCTGTCACTGCCTCCTTGGCACCTGTGGTGGCTCCGAGGTAGTGGCCCAGCTGCAACTCCAGCTTCGGAAGCTGCTTCTCCAGCTGACCCAGGCGCGAGTCAAAGCCTGCCAACGCACAATCGCACTACTGCTGCATTATTTGTTTCGCATGCCCTCTAGCCGTGCTCCAGCCGTACACTGCCTGGCCAAATAAAACTAACATGAATAAGCCAAGCGGTCGAAAGATCGCAAGCGACACGTGCACCCCACAAACTCGGATCCCACTTTCCCTGACTAGCAGATTCATTCCCGTCTTGAAAGATGTATCTACCCGCAGTGGCATTCCAAAACAACTCATGCACACCAGGCGAGCTTGGCTGCTCGTCGCATGCATCTTGAAAGATGCCCTACGTGTGAGGAAAGGCTTGTCCTGCACCTCTCGGCATTCGTCCGCGCTCACCCATTTTCCTGTCGAGCAAGCGCAACTGTGCAGGCCTTGAGGCGCATCGGGCGCCAACTTCTGCATACACTGGTCCAGTCGCCTGTTCCGCATGCTCGTGTACGGGCGTACAAGTCCAAACTGTGGGGTTTGGGCGCGGGGCTTGGGGAGCACAAAAGATGGCAAAGCATGCTGCAATATCAGAGGAGGCGCCTCTCCAAAGAAGCCAGCTTCTGTGCCACTTCTGTTTTCCACGAGTCCGCCCCTCCATGTGGAGTGGCAGCCATGCTCCAGGCAAGAGCGATGCAAATGCTGATAACCCACGAAGAGCAATTAGAGCACACACACGTCATGCAAGGCGGTGTATGAAAAACTACCTCTTTTTTCAAACTACCTTTGTAACTCGGCCTACCGAGCCACGTGGGTGAAGCATCAACAACGCAAGCACAATGCAGTTAATTCACCATACCAATTTCATGCTCCCCAACCTGGTCACGCATTCCACAACTAATACCTAGAATTTGCCGGCTCCGAACAGACAACAGACTATGCTGGACAATAACGGATCGGATCCCAACTCTTTCCAGCTGAGGCCTTGGCCAGAGGAAATCCGGTGCGCAGATTTCCATCAGCTTACATAGTGTGAGCTGGGCACACCGTTCGAGCCAGATCGACACACAGCGTGCATGGCCATGTCCGGGCGAAAAAACCCTCAGGCTCAGGGTGATTTGGCTCAGGATGTCAGGAATATTTACTGAGCCGACGGGCACCCAGCACACATTTTTGAAACAGGTCGTTTCTGGGAGTCGTGTCTGGCATAAGGCAAAAACTGAACCCGAACAACTGCTCTCTGCGCTCTCTCTTCAAAATCACAGGCTGGAGATCTTGTATGCTGATACATCGTAAACGTCGAAACCTCTTGATCCTTTCGAAACCTCTTCAAGGAACTGGTGCTGTCCGATGAAGTATGAACGACCGGACATGTCGCATGTTAACATACCGACCTTGCATCAAAGGCTTCGGTGCTGCCGAATTACATTTTTCTGCAGTCGCGCTCATGCTGGCTCAAAGCCCGGCACTTCTACGCCCTCAGCATCCCGGTGTCCCAAGATTTCATTGAAACGCCGCCTGCGTGAGACAACATCCCGCCACATGCTTGCAGATGACACATGGAAGGGACCAACACGCACCAGCAAAGAAGAGCTGCCGTCAAGTTGCCGGACGGTAGGCCAGTTGAGGGATTCGAACATCTCGCCTGTGTTGCCGGTCCGCGCCACCATGAGGGCACGCATGCCCAAAGGCGTTGACTTCCGAAGCTCCATCTGCAAGCCGCCGTCGACCGTCAGGTCCGCGACTGCCCAAATCCAGCCACTGCCATCATCGGAACCCTCAAAGGGCTCCCCGTTCTGCATGCACTCCTCCCAATCATCTGCAAAACCTCTTGAACCCTACGCACGACCTGCTTGTTTGAGGGTTGCCTCTCCACCACCTGCACACCGAAATTTATGGACCGCAAAGTTGTTCACGCATGCCCTGAAAACATTTGGGACGGTTTGGGGGGGGCTCCTGGAGCTGTTCCCCTGAACATATTCTATGTGTTTCAACGCTCAAAGATGCAAGTTACCCATTGTCATAAGCTTGAGGTTGATCGTCGAGGGCTCTTCCCCTGAATATTGTCTCGACAATTCTTCGACTTCTGAAAATGTTGGGGCCTGTACCGCCCGTTGATGTTCGTGTAGGCCTGTGCTAACAGGACGCTTGGATCCTCCGTACTGCCTTGCCACAATCTACTTTTCATTTCGGGATGACTGGGCTCCTTGAACGTTTGAAAGGCAGCTTCATGGTCCCCCCGACCGTGGAAGTCACCGTTTCCGAAGCACTTGGTGATGAGATCTCTTTCCAAGCCTTTGGGAGGTCCGCCGTCGCCACCCACTGTATCCAGATAAAACCTCGGGCGAACAGTTTCGTGTACAAATGCGCAAACACACAAAGAGTTCACATCCAGGAACCCTAGGATTCGAAGGGCATTGCGTTGCCCAAAAAACACACCTCCGGAGCTACCAAGCAGCTGGTTTACATCGATGGGTGCATATTTCGCCTTCTTGCGTGAGACAAACTTCACTGCAGACCGGGCTGTGAGAGGGTTTCCTCGAGCAGATCGTCGGATTGATTGGCTCATCACATTGCCGTCGGCAAAGCACAGGCAAGCACCGAAAGCACAAATGGCGGCAACTGCCACGACACCATGTCGAGAGCTCCCCTTCCTCCTATCCATTGTCACGCGGGTCACGTGTCCCATCCCTCCGCCTTGAGGCATAACCGCCCACACACAGGCAAACATCCACAACATGAGCACAACAGCTGCTGCAAGCTTAAGAGTAGTGTTGGAGTGGATCTGTCCGGGCATATGGTGCCCAGAACAAACAAGCAGACCTTGGTGCCTGCCCCGGTAAGGAGGTGGGTGGTCGGTTTTACATACCGAATGTTCCAAAAGTGCCAAAAGTCACGGGGATGACGTCCGTATCCGGTGTTTCCTGGCGAGGCTTTGGGGGCGGCAAACTAAGGAGGAACTCCATACGAGGTGTGTCCTGGCGAGTCTTCGAAAGCGGCAAGCTAAAGGGGGAACCCATGGAACTCCAAACAGGCGAGCTAAGCGGGAACTCCACACGAAGCGTGTCCCGGCGTGTCCGTGTCTGTCTTCGCGTCCTGTCTTCGTGTCGTGTCTTCGTTTTCGTGTCGTGTCCTCTCGTCGTGTCCTCGTGTCCTGTTCTCGTGTCGTGTCCTCGTGTCGTGTCGTCGTCTCTGTGTTGTGTCCCTCAAGTCGCGTCTTCGTGTCGTGCCGGACTGGGTCGAAGTTCAGGTCGCGGACAAGCACATTGAGAGCGACGGCCACACCAGCTTCGCGGCACATCCTGGCGGCAGCACGCTGGAAGAGGGCCGCTCCGCCCACGAAGAACACCAGAGCGAGGGTGGGAAGGGAAGGGTCGTCCTCGAGGAGGGCGGCACGTGAGTACGCAGCAACTCCGCCCAGGCAAGGGGCCTCGAAGCCGATGGCAAAGAGCGAGTCTCGGGCATCTCGCGCTGACTGCAAGGCCAACGGGAGTGGCCGGTCAGACACGAGGAGCCGGCGACCTCATGTGCAAAGTCGGGGTCGCGCCGGGCGATAGCATGCAAGGCATCCGCCCACGAAGCCCAGTAGGCAGCTGGCGCATGGCGTGTCGCGCTGCCCAAGCCGAAACCGCCGTGCCGCAATGCCAGGCGCGCACGCGCCTGAGCAGGCTCAGGCAGTTGCGACGCCTCATTGGCAAACGAGAGCGCTGCGCAACAGGAGCGCAACAGCCATGCTACTTGGGAGTTTTTTTTTCCTCCGCTGCGATGGGTGTGTCCCTAGCGGCTAGGGGCCGCAGTCACCGGAGGCGCGGCAGCGCCATCAGCGCAGCGGCAGGCGGTTGGGGTTCAGCGCGTCAGCGAAGTGCGGGACCTGGTCCAGGTCGGGCCCAACTCGCTGGCTGGGGTGGGGCACGGGCCAGGAGCACCCCAAGGCCGTGCTGGCGACGGCCTGCTGGCGCGGGCGGTGCGCGCTGCGCATGGATCCGGACCAGGTCGCGCACGAGGTGGAGCGCGCCCTGGCTCCACCGTCCTCCCACCTCGGACCCGAGAACCACCAGTTTTTGGGGGCCTCCCGTGCTCAGTTCCGGGTACGCGTCGCGCTTGCGCCGTCCGGGTCAGCGGGGAGACCAGAGTGGCGTCGCAGCACGGCGCCACGCCCCTTGGCGTGGCGCCGTAGATTACCCGGTCCAAGCGGCGCCTGTCAGAAGGGTCCATGCCGGGGGGCCGTGGTGTGGGCCAGCCATTGCTGCGGGAAAACTTGCCCGTCCGCCCCAACCGCTTCCCGAGCCACCTGCACCCAGGCCCATTCCACTATCTTAGCACGACGGGCGAGGAGGCCGCTGCGGAGGCATGCCAAGGCGTGGTCCCCGAAAGCATCCACTTGCGCGCCGCAGAGTGGAGCGGGAGTGCGAGGCGCACACGTCGGCGCAGCGCCACCTGCATGGTTTGGGGTTCCAAGGTCATGGCGGGCTCAGCGGGCACTGCCGCTAGCCAGGCGCCCGCATGCGGCCCAGCTTGCGAACGCAGAAGCGCAGATGCGGCTGGCGGCAGGGATGGCCACAGCACGCTGTCGCGGAAGTGAAGGTTCCGGGTTCGCGACGCGTGGCTTTGCCAACCGTGTGGCCAGTCACCCAGGCCGGCGTCCGCTAGGGGGCGAGGGTGGCGAGGGCTCGCCATGCGGGGCACGTGTGCCAACCTTCGGCTTGGAGGAGGCTGCGAGCGTCAGCCGCGCTTCGTATGCTGGGCGCAGTTCCACCCCCTGCGACCAAGCGGTCCACGCAGGAAGCGGCGAACTCGGGCACCCGCGCTCGGAGTACCGGCAAGGCATCAGCCCAGGCAGCTAGGCCGTCGGCGCGCTCTTCGCGTGCTCGGGTCGTTGCCCAAGCGCGCACGTACTCAGGGGTGGCCGACGGGCGTGCCCAGCACAAGCGCCGGGCTGTTGGCACGGGTTTTGCCCACATTGGAAGCGATGCCGCACTGGTCTTCAACGCGGTGAACCACCACATCGCGGCACTCCCTGGCACGGTCCCGATTGGTGACGACGTAGAGGTCGTCAAGAAACGCAAGGAGACTCTCGGAAGGCGCGAGGGCCGAGGCCGCGCTGTTCAAGGCACCATGCTGGCCGGGCGGGGGCCAGCGGGTCTCCTTGCTCGCAGCCCTCGCCCTGCGAAACCTCTCGGCATTGACCGGCCGCGAGGTACGTGGACGGGTCGCCATACCACATGTTCAGCGCGGACAAGAAAGCGGCCCGGGACATGCTGTCGTAAGCATTTCGCCCGTCCAGCGACACGACTACGGCATCAGGCCGCATATCGAGCGATGCGCGCACGTGAGCCGCCAATGCGTCAGTACCGGCCCGAGCCTTGAGCGCGAACTGGTATGGGCGTGTAGCTTGGTCGGACGTGTCGGCCCAGCCCTGAGCCAGCGCGCGCGAGACTAGCCGACGGAAGACGTCGCCCGTTGCGATCCCCCGGACCCCGCCGCCGGGCTTTTGCAGCGCGGTGAGACGAGCCAATGCCAGGCCGGGGACTATAGCAGCAGGGATTTGGGCATTGGCGAGCTGGGTGGCCGCGTACGCTAAAAGTTCGAGCGCGCTGATGCCTGAGATGCTCCGCCCGCATGCCAGAGAGGCCCGCAGCGCCGCCCCGTTGTTTGGCACCACGCAGAGCCGCGGACACAGCCGCAGGACCGAGCTCGACCTTGTGAGCGGGCGTCTGCGTCAACAGCTCGGCGGGGATGGACTTGCGGAGCTGAGGCGGACGTTTGGCCGGGTCGGTCAACGCGCGCCACGTGGCGTCGTCTCCTGGGGCGAGCTCTGCGGCTGTCAGCATGTGCCGGGTCCTGGACAGTTCTCCGACCCGGACTCGGGCGCAAGCCTGCGTCCAGCGCCGCTCTGCGCCACCATCCTCGTCCGGCGGGGCCGAGGCTCTGCGTGGGCTGCGCGGCTGCTGTGCTGCCCCGCAACAAAGGCAGCCAGTCGCCTTGCTCGAGAGCCCTTGCCCTCGCCAGCAGCAGGTCCCGTCCGTGTGCTCCCTTCTCGTCCGTCCTCGCGAGCAGCATGCTAGGCGCCAGCAAAAACAGTTTCCAGGCGCGGCAAGCAGGGAGTCCCGCAAGGTCGCTCGCTTCGCGGATGCGGGTAAGGGCAGCGACCAGCGCTCGGCGCACGGCCACGCGCATGAAGGGCTGCACATCTTGCAGAGTAGGCTCGGGCCGGCGCAGCTCCGCACTCAGGTCAACGATGGTCAACGCCATCCAGGGTTGCCCCAGCCTCTTCGGGCAGCGCGGCGACGTCTACGAGCTGCGAGCACTCCTCATGCTCGTGGGCGGAGACGCCGGCTGGACTTTGGGCTTCACCCGCTTGGCCGCGACCCCGTCCGCGCCCGCGGCACGGCGGCCCCGGCCGCGGCTCACGCCCCCGTACTGTTCGAGGAACGTCGTTTGCGCCGCCGCTGTGAGGTAGCCTTCCGAGGCCTGGCAAAGCAGCACGGCTGAGGCCAGGGGAGCGGCCCTGTTGGCAGCGCAAACAGCCGGGCTGCCGCGGCATCCACGTCCTCCTGCCGTTCGCACGTGCCCGCCGCACACAGGGACTGTGCGAGCGTGTGCGCTGGCGTTGGGGGGGCCGCTCGCAACGCAACTACCATTGTGTGCCAGCGGTCTCCCGCGTCGGGCACGGCCTGCCATGCGCGATACGCTTGGGAGTCATGGAACGCGGGGAGGTTGTCGAGGAGGCCGCCCTGGCGGGCAAGGGCGGAACGCAGATGGGCTTCGACGAACTCCGGAGTGCCAAGGTGCTCCTCTATTGTGCCGCGCCCTGTTGCGTTTACTTGCTGCGGACCCTCGCCCCAACTGACACGGCGGACTTTGCTGCCCAGCATGACACCGCACGGCCACTGACAAGCGCTGACCCTGCGTCTCGAGCACTGCTGCTGTCGCAGAGTGGCGACGCCGCGAGCTGCGGTTTTACAGCCTTCCCAACGAGCCGGGACACGGACGTACCCGATGCCGAGTACCGCATCCTGCTGCTTCCCCGGCTGAGGCTACCGCTGCCGCTTACACCCGCTCGATGCCCTTGCGGAGGCAACCTCGACGCGCTCGGGGACCACCGGTCCGCGTGCGCAGGTCGGGGTGTTAGCCCCTCGTGCTGGCCCCCTCGAACGCGCAGCAGCACGCATTTGCCGCGAGGCAGGAGCGCGGGTTGCCACGAATGTTTCCCTGCGCGATCTCAACCTCGATCTTCCGGCCGCGGACGGGCGCAGAATCGAGGTCGTCGCCAACAACCTGCCGATCTGGCAAGGTGCTCAGATCGCGGTCGACACCACGATCGTAAGCCCTTTGAGGCGTGACAGCGAGCCCCGCCCGCAGGCGGATCGGGAACCGGGACTCGCCCTCCGTCAGGCCGTCGACCGCAAACTGCGAGCGTACCCAGAACTGCGGTGCGCCCGCCGCTGCAAGCTGGTCGTCTTCGGGGTTGAACTGGGCGGGCGCTTCAGCCAGAGCACCCTCACCTTCCTGCGCTTGCTCGCACGCGCCCGCGCGCGCCAACGCGCGCCATGGTGCGCGGCAGCGGCCCGCCAAGCGATGGTGCACCGATGCACCACCCTGGCAGCGCTCGCGGCGCTCCGCGCCCACGCGTGCACGCTGCTAGAGCTTCCAGTGGGTGAACCGGTTGACCCGCTCGACGGGCAGGAGCTCGCTCTGGGGGAGCTCCTTGCGGTGCCCCCCCGCCCCAGCCCAGCAGGCCGGGGCATGGGCCGCTGCCGCCCTAGACCCACTGCTCGTAGTAGCAGCAGCAGCAGCAGCAGCAGCAGCAGCAGCAGCAGCAGCAGCAGCAGCAGCAGCAGCAGCAGCAGCAGCAGCAGCAGCAGCAGCAGCAGCCGCAGCAGCAGCAGCCGCAGCAGCCGCAGCAGCAGGAAGAGAGCAGACCCCCCGCGAGTAAAAAGGCGCGTGGGAGAAAAAAAAAACAAAAAAAGGGAACAGCAAGGGCAACAACACCACGCTCTGCCAAGGGGGTGTCTTGGCCACCCGCGACTCGGCCTGAGTGCGCGCCGGCAAAGTATGCACCAGCGCGGCCCGCGTGGAAAGGGCATATTGGTGGTGGCGCAGGCGGCTTCGAATTTGGAGGCGAACTGTTGTGGAAGCGTGCGGTCGTCGCGCTCGAGATGGGTAGGCGCTGGAACACTGAGGCCGCCACCTTTTGTCCACCTGCTCGAAAGGTGCAAGGCGCGGTCAGCACCGCCCCCTTCACGAGCCGCCGCATGCCGCCGCCATCTCTGCCTGCTCCGGTGCCGGCCCTCCTATCATGTTGTTTCAATGCTCCTTTACATGGCCAAGGGCAGTGCTTGCAACTGCCTGCTGCACTGCGACAGACAGCAGGCCCCACCAGCGACGCGTCCAGCTGGAAGACGCGGCGGCACGCAGGGCTGGCGGCCCTCTGTAGGACCGCAGTCGGACCAGGTCTCGCACCAGTTGCTGCGCGTCGCCGTTGAAGCGCCCTCCGACCTCGCTGCCAAACACCAGGAGCTTCTGCGGCCCTTGGCGCCGAAGCTCCGGGTAGGTGGCCGCCTTGCGTTGCTCCGCTGCCCGCTCGACGTTGGCCGTGCATGGCTGTGGTTGCCCCGTGCGTGTAAGTGGCGATACCAGCGTCGCATCGAAGCATAGCACGGATCCGTTAGGCGTCGCCCCGTAGATGGCCAGGCGGCGTCTGTCCGTGCGCACTCCGGGCCTGTCCCTGGGAGGGCCAATGTCGATGGGGAGCTGTCGCCCCTGAGTGACCACAGAGTGATACAGAGTGTATGTGTAACGCTGCAGTCACTCTGTGTTTCATCCGACTCACAGTGCTGTGCACCCAGCGAAGCATTCGTCGTTGCAATGCATCCAGTGCCTGAATTTGTGTCAGAATCAACGGCAATACGTGTAATCCAGACAGCAGCATGCGCAGGAGGAAAAGCAATTTTGTTTTGTTTTTCATTTTTTCTTTTTCCCTCGCACCTTTATACCAACGTCCAACGCGGTCCCTGTGCTCCAGCCCCCAGCCGGGCGACAACCTATGGACAACGGGCAGCGGGCGGTCATGCCAGGCTGGTGAGGATGACACCTGGTCTCGCCAGCTTGCACGACGTCAGCACAACTTCGCTTTCCAAATGTTGCGAATTCCCAATTGGGCGTTCTCAAATGGTGTCCAGAAACCAACTGGCAAGCAAATTTTGTTTTACAACTACATCGTCGACCCGGTCGCCCGCTAACGAAGTGGGATGATCGACTCCGCAGTTTTGCAGCCTGTAATTTTCCAGCGGTGAATACGTGGACTGATATTGCTGAAACAGCAACTTGGCCGCCCGCTGCAAGCCAGTACAGACCGAATCGTGCCAACACTCAAGCACGCCCCCATTCCCCATGTCCTTATAGGACCGTGGTCCACGAGTAGCAGGAACAGTCTGACGCTTGTAAAGGACCCGAACGGGCGAAAGCGAAGCGAAGCATGCTGCTGTCACGCAGGGCGGCATGCGCGACGACTCGGGCACCTGCTTCCTTGCAGATACGAGCCGCCGCGTGCTCAAGGGGGCATAAGGGGGCCAGCTCTCCAGGCCAGGCACGCGATAAAATTTGCAGAATTGCTTGGCGAGTAATATGATAATGGTAACCATATCCCATATTCTGCCTTTTTATCCCACACACACACCTCTTTCCGCCAGCTCCAGTCAGATCCGGTTCCTGGCAACACGCGGTCCCGGGTTTTTTTTCGGCACGCCTTTTTTGCTCACCGTTCATCGCGGTCCCCGTATGTCCCTGCGCAGGTGGCATCGCAGTTGCCTACGTAATCGCGAAGCGAAAGTGGGGAGGGCTTACGACTCACGCCAGGCGGCTGGCAAGGGCAGGACCCTTGGACAAGATGTCACTGAGGAGCGGCGCATCCCCATCGAGGCAGAGGTCCCGGCCAGGGCAAAGCAAGAAGGCTGGCTGCGAAGGACCTGGCAGCTGCAAAGGGCAGGATTGCTGACCATCGGAGTGCGAGGGCAGACATGCTGGCAGCGCAGGATGGTGGAGGCGCAGCCCGGCGCGGCAGCAGGCGAGCAAACGGATGAAATACTGCCTCGGCGCTCCGCCGACCGCCGACTTCAATGCCGAGAATGAAAAGGTTGCAACGCCGCCAAGCTCAGGTACGTCCGCTCTTTGCTTCGGCGGGCGGCACGCAGTGCAGCACCTGCTGTGGTGCCCCTCTGGCGCCGAGGCTCAGCTGAGGATGTGAAGGGGGGACGAGCGTGGTATCGAGACAGCGACCTGCGCCCCGTTCCAAAGCGGGAGGCCATTCGCGATTACTTCGAACATGCACAGGCTGTGCTCACCGTTTCGTCGAGTGCGGCTCCCGTGCGGCACGGCGACGTCATCCAGGAAGGCAGCAAGTGTGTCATCGGGTTGACGCACGTCCGAGGCCTGCTGGAGGGCGTTGTGCTGCCCGAGGGCAAATAATGCTGGAGCCAGGAGGTCCCCCTGCTCGCACCCTTCGCTTTGGCATACGTCCCGCCAACAGTACGTGGAGGGGGTACCGTAGAAAAGGCGAGCAACTCCGGGGCCACCTCGCGGAGTTTACACAGGAAGGCCGTGTGTAACATGCTGTCGTACGCGCTCCTACCGTCCAGTGACACCAACACGGCTCAGGCGCGTGTTGCGAGTGCGGCACGCACGTGAGCTGCGAGTGCATCGGTCCCGGCTCGTGCTTGCATTGCGAATTGGAAAGGCCGCATGGCATGGTCGAACTTGGCGGCACACTCCCTGGCCAGCGTTTTGGAGACCAAGCGGTGGAATGTGTCGCCCAGCGAGAGGTAAAAGCCGAAATACGACGAGCCTGCATTCGAACAGAGTTGCGACGTCAAGTAATACCGTGTTTTGATTGATCAAAATGAATGCAACAATGACTTTTTTTATTTAGCACGACAAAAGGTGTGAAGACAGAGAAAATGGACGGTCGGTCGCACAAGCAGCCACAGCCGCCCGATTGGAGCGCGAGCACACGCACGCGGAGGTGGTTGCGCGGTCGACTGCGTCAAGAGAAGTGACGCATTCCGGCTTCCGGCGGCGCTGGCCTGGCCGCGCCTTGTGGTCGAGCACGCGGCCCTGGCGCCGGCTCACGTGGGACTGGTGAGGGGTCCTCGAGGAGGGAGTGGGCAAGCGACCTTGGTGGATGACATTGCGCCCCTCGCGCAGCCATGGCAAGGAGGTCATCATCGCTGTGGGAGGGGCCCACCAACAATACGTGGAAGGCTGACCGAACAAAACCGTACGAAAGGGAGTAGTTGCGGTGGGACATGCTATCATCCGCACTCCGCCCATCGAGAGAAACAAGAGCGAAACAACATCGTCACAAAGCTCGGGCACCGTCCGCACATGGGCGGCAAATGCCGCGGTACCGGCCAGTGCTTGCAAAGCGTATTGGACCGGCAGTGTTGCTTCATCGAACGGCGCCCATTGCTTGGCCAGGCTGTGCACTCCGTCTGGTTTGCGCCACGGAAATACTCCGTCCTTCACAGTATTCTCAGTTGGTACAAGTCACACTTGAAGGCCGGCGCGACGTTTGCTGGCATTCGGGAGCTGCGTCGCTGCGAGAAGGACTTCAACAGGGGGCACGTCGATCATTAAGGTTTTCAAGTGCTCGACTCGCATGCCCAACAGCCCTGCGGCCTGTCGCCGCGTTGAGTCGCGTAGAGCCGTCGCTATGGCCGCCGGTCCAAGTCGGAGGGGCTGGGAAGGATGGTGCTCCATGACAGTGTCGGGGATGGGCTTCAGGGGCCAGCTCCGCTGCCGTCAGGAGTTGGCGAGCTCTGCACACTTCACCTGCCCTTACCTTTGCGCAAGCTTGCTCACGCTTGCTTCAACAAGGGCGTTGCACGCCAAGTGCCTGGACCGGAGCTGCGCCGCTGCGGGTTGTCGTGACGAGCAGCTTCCAAGAGCGCTGTCCAGTCGCCGCGCTGGAACGCAGCTGCTCGCGACAGAAGTCGTCCCGCCCTGCAAGGAGCATTCGCAGGGCGAGGCTAAACGACTTTCATGCACACGAAGAGGGGCGCCATGCCAAGCATCCGTGGAGTCGCGCAAGCGATTCAATGCAGTCCGAACTGCAGATCGCATGAAGGCAGTAAAAATTGTTGGCTGCTTTGGGCTTCGACGCACATAATCGTCCATCAAGCCATGAATGGGGTCTGCCGGGAACACATGTGGTCTGCACAGAGGACTGGGAAGACTCTTGTGTCTGGACCTCTCAAGGCAGCCTACAAGAGCCTCCCACAAAGGCTTGTGCAATTTCACAAGCCGCTCTTTTGTCTGGACCTCTCAAGGCAACCTACAAAGGGCCTCCCACCGAGGCTTACGCAAGTCATGTCTCATAGACCACATGCACAGGGACTTTTCGCCGGGAGCCTCACCGTGTTCGAAAAGCGCGGAAAGACACCAAATGACAGCCGCATCGTGCTGCACCGCATACTCGGCAGTGAGGTGTTGGGGAAGGTTGCATAACAGGTAGTTGGCGTGCGGGGCGGCGCAGGACCGCAACAGTAGCCATCCCGCTTGCAGGTCATCAACGTGAAAGATGCCTTGCAGGAGCCGGTCTTGCTCATCGCGCTTGCCCTGGAGGTGGCGCGATACGAACGCATCATGCCCTACGGGGGAGCCGTGCTCGGTTTTGGATGACAAGGCCCAGTCGCCGACCCACTAAGGGCCCCTTGAAACATAAACAGAAAAACAAGCAAAGACAGAAACCCAAACAAATACATCTACACCATATATATATATATACATACATACATACATATATATTTTCTATCTATTTACTTATTTATTTGCTTATACTTTTTGTATGTTATCCCATGGCAAAGCTACGAAGGAATGAGCATACCAATCTGTACCCACAGCTGTGGACACTCTCTCATGAGGACAAGCCATGCAGGAATTTTGCGAGATCTTCTGCAAACGGATCTCTTAGGGCCGAAAACTGGCATAAGATTGCCGTGTGTGAGAGCCGAAAATAGGCTGAAAGGCTGCAGCAGAACCCAGACTACCCGCCTTCCGGCGAATAATTTTCTACTGAAGACTGTAAGCAAATCCTGGGCGTTGTTGCTGGCAGCGGTGTGAGAAAAAGTGCCCAGCTTGCTGTGCTCAACTGCTACAGGTAGTGAATGCTGGGATGTGCTGAACAGAAACTGGGCTTCATGAATTCGAAGAGTGCTACGAGTGAGACTGCTCGACCTCAAAGCATTCACGCCGCCACCATCTCCGACACGAGCGCGTGCTCAGCCTCCTCGACGATCCTCCTCATGGTGTTCACCGTCTCGACGGGGAACCTCAGAATATCGTGAGTACCCAGCCAGGCCACTCCTGCCTGCTACCCCACCCTAAATGAAGGCACAGCAGCTTTCCCATGGCGCTCTCGCTGCTGAGCATCACTGCGTCGGCCCCATCCAAAATTGCGTTGGCCACATCACAGGCCTCCGCTCGGGTCGGGAACGGCTTGTCCTCCATGGATGCCAGCATCTCCGTGGCGCACACCGCGTACTTGCCGGCTGCCTGAACAGCGATTCAGAGTAGCAGAGGATGCTGAGGTTTGGGAAGTTTGGGCCACTTTTGGGGGCTGCGATGAAGGCATGGCAATGCATGGAATATGGCACTTTTTGGTATGGGCAAGCCTTGGTCTTCTTGATCATCATCTTCTGGGCCATCCAAACCTTCTCCATCGGAATCTCCATGCCCAGGTCGCCACGGGCCACCATAATGCCATCCGATTCCGCGAGGATCCTTGGAGCGGCATCGCCCTTCAAAGGTGCACATGTACCACAAGAGCCCTATGAAGCCCTACCGGGCCGTACGGAGCAAGCCACAACGCTTGGGCAGCGGCTCCTCAAAGTTCCTCAGAACGGATCCATCATCGAGTGAAGCTTTAGCCCGAACGAAGACTATGAAGGGAGTTACCCCATGTTACCCCGGCATGACGGGTGAGCCTCAAAGCGTCTTTACCGCTACCGGGGGGGGCCTTTGCCACACTCAGTCGGGATAATTTGGGACGTAGTCTGGGCCGCACACTTCAGGCCCTCCACATTCTCAATCTTGGAGATGACCTCAAGGATCCCAACAAAGACCAAGGAAGGGTCGGCTGATAGACCACGTACTGAAGATGTGCCCCCCTTCCTTTCGATGCTCGCACAGACCATTGGAGCTTACAACCTTTCGCCCTATACGCAGATCATGCGGACGAGAAAAGCCTACAAGAGCTCACAGTGACTTACCATCATTTGCTGTTGTGACACGGTTGCCCTGAGAGCACGTTTACAAGTTTACACTTTTTGAACACATCTCAATGCAACTTGCCGGCCTGCCTTGATGTCCTTACCGCCAAAGTGCTTGCGGCACTCCTTCACATCATCCGCGCTCCTGGGCTGCATGCGGCTGCATGTGGCTGCATGCCGCTGCAGACGGCTGCATGTCGAAAGTAGAGTAGAACCAGAACATCCCTGCCAGGCATCTGGACAAAACTGAGGGCAATGTAGTCGGCGTTGTTGGGAACTGCCCACTCCTCAATGTCCTGCACATGGAGCCCCAGCACCGAGAATCGAACCCATCCCCTCTCCCAGCCTTGATCTCCCGCTCACCCACAACCGGGATGTCCACCTTCACACCTGGAAAGTGCAGGATTTCCGGTGTTTTTTTTGGGTGGTTGGTTTGGTCTGGAGGTGCCTGGCACGTTCACGTTCTTCTTCTCACCCAGCTTGCAGTTGTTGACAACCTCATGCGACCCATCTGACTTTAGATGTGCAAGTGTTACCGCATCCCCTTCGCCTCTCCTGGCCTTGCAAAGCACCTCGTCGTCCTTTGCCTCCGTGACCTCGAGGATCACAGTGCCGTCCTGGTGCAGCTACCGGGTTGACGTGCCCTCCGTAGTACCACCATTGGTGCACGCTACCCACACTCCTGGATGAGGATGCGCTGGCCCGGCTTGACGCTCTTGGGCAGCTGTTCGTAGGTGATCGCCACCATGCTCTCGTCGCCCTGGGGATCCAGAGACGGAAAAATGAGATATTTTAAAAGCCCCCCTGCACGGCACAAGTCGAAGCTTGCATGCCATTCTGAAATCTTCTGAAGCCTTCAGGCTGTAGTCGGTGACGAGCTTGAAGTCCTTGACAAGAAATGTTTGAAACCGCACCACCCACCCCCACTACCCCATGGATGTGCTGCGGCTCCTGACCAGCCTTCAGTTCTTTCTTGGAGTTGTAGACCTGGGGGAACCCTTGCAAAGGGGGGGGCATCGGGTTCTGCTTTGAATGCCGGACCCGATAGCCCTGCCTCGAAAGTGCCAGTACGGATCTCAGGGCCGCGAGTGTCCATCAAGATCTGCACAATGACATGACGAGAGAGCACTGAACAGCTCCGCTTCGCCCAAAAGCACGCTGTCAACCCGCCTTCATCTTGCCCTTGAACTCCGGAGCGAGCTCGTATGCCTTCTGTGGTAGAATCTACGCATGATAATATTTTCCATGTTCTCCTATTGAAGATGTTGCAAAATCCGACCTTCAAGAGGGGGCACGCTTCAACAGGGGGAGGCGCTTTTCAGGGGGGGACCTCAGGTCGGGAGACCGAAGGCGGAGCCCTCAACACAGAAAGAGCACATCGCAAGAAAGTGTGCCCACGCGCTACGACAGTGAATGTGATGAGCCACAGCCCATTTCAGGACCAGAAAACCACAACCCTCGAAGGCGGCCAGTCGCAAGGCGTCCCACAGCAACTTAAGCCTCCTTGCCACGCTGTTCTTCACGCATGCCACTGTTGAGTTTTCAACATCAAAGCTGCAGACAGGATGATTTAGGCCACGAAGAGGAGCTTAAAACACTCAAAGCATCGGCCTTCTCAAGGTTGGCCAGCTTCATGCTCTGCTCCTTCGAGATTTTCTGAGCGTGGGAGCACCGTTTCGCGAGACTCTTGCACTACCGTCACTACTGTCGTCTTATGCCCGAAGGATTGGGAACGGCTCAAACCTTGGGATGTGGTCATTGTCTCTAGGCCTTAAACCTTGGAGTCTCAACACTGCCACACGGTTTCCTCGTGGTCTCCGTGGGACATGTTGCATCGGATGACGTTCATTCCGGCTTTCATGAGCTCCACCAAAACCTCAAGGATGAGCAAGGGGGGGCACCTTTGGCCTCATGGATAGCTTCGGGGGGTGTGTTTGGCAAGGGCACATGGATGGCCACGGCGCCCGCAGGTTTCGGAAATTGTTGGCGTCTTGACTCTCAACCCGAGTTGAACAGATGACTTGTATGACATACTTGCACCTCAGAGGCATGTGAAAAACAGCAATTCGAATTCAAGGGTTTTCCGAAGTTTTGACATATGGTCAACTTGTCAACCTCAGGGTCCCAGGACTTTGGTCCGATGGTGCAGATGATGTCGGCCTCCTTCTCCTGGAGCGTCAAAAAAGTGTCAGCACAAAGGTCTTCTATGGTTGTCAATTTATCCCAAAGCGGCGGAAAGCTTCCAGTGAAGGCACAAAAAAGTGCAAACTCTACAAGGGTGTGAAGCGATAGAAGAACGCCTTGTCATTGACGTCGGCGATTTTGTCATAGGCTGCCGGGTACTCCATTGCACCCTGCTGAAAAGTCTCCACAGAATGACGGGCGACCTGCATGTCGAATTTGCATTAACACCTGACATACCCAAAACAATAATCATTATAGCACGCAACCAGCCTGCCTGGACCCGAGCCTTCCGTGCGCTCGCTTTGGCACCGGATGCCCCGATCACGGCCAGGGCCAT